GCATTTTACCCTGAGTCTGCATTTTACCCCCAGTCTGCAGTCTGCAGTCTGCAGTCTGCGTTTTACACTGACCGGTTAAGAAACACAACACCGCCCAGAATGCTATTGTCTTTCGCAACATGTACTTGCAGTCGGGCGGCGTAATAATTTGCATATCTTGAACTAGTCGGTTGTGATTGGTCAGCAGATAAAGCTTTGAGAATACATGAGTCTCTTGGCAGATTTCAGCTGCTGTCAATCAAACGGTTGGATGCGTAAAGTAAATCCCAAGGTGACATAAAGTGAACAATAGCAATAATTAACAATAGCCACGCTCTTAACTAAGCATTTAGAAAATTCGTTTGCAGTGAATTCTTATATAGACTGACAGACTCACGTTGGTCAAAATGTTATCGGAATTATAGAAATTAGTATCATGAAAATAGAAAAACTAGGAAAGTAGTATCGTGAAGAATAGGCGGTTTAAAAAGCGTAACTTGCAATCAGGCGGTTTTCGATTGCGAAAGGCTTGTGGTTGCGCACTGAAAACAAAAAAACGCCTGATCGAAGGTTATAAAAAGCGCTGCTCTGAAAGCCAGCTAACTTATGGTTAAGTGAAATTTTAGTTTCATTTAATCTTTGTCTTAAATGTGGGCTTGACTAACGGTTGATTAATATTTTTACTGCAGTTTGTTGTTTTGATATGTGTTTCCGAACGTGACATCAGTTGTGGTGTTACGGTCTAACTAAAAATGAACTTTGAACAACCCCGAGCTTGAATTTTTTAAACGGGTGTAGTCTGTCGTCTTCTTTCCAGTGCTGTAAAGCAAAGTGAGTAGAGCAGTTAGAAGTGTAGCAGTTGGTGGTTCGAGCTCATTTCATGAAAATGAGCTCGAACAAGCCAACTCTATACCACTTTCCATATGATGGAAATAATTTGACAAAAATTATGTCATGACATTCGTTGGCTATAAATGTAGTTTAAATCTTCTCCACCTAATGGATACTAAAATGCTGTAAAGGAAATAATTCCCAGAAATAAAGACGGTTTTGATTCAAAGAAATCAACACACAGCCCACGCGGTGGTGTCATTAAAAAACAGGAAGTCTATGGTAAACAGGTGACTTTCCCAAAGAAATGAGTTATCAGATTGCTATTGTTCTTACCAGTAAAGTTTGTTAACAAAAAAATATTTCCTATTAAAAATTTTGCTCATTTACCATTGCGAGAAATTCTCGGAAAAACGGGAAGTCCATGATGTAATACAACATTCCTTCTAGAAAAGTGACTTGCATGCAATAAATGCGTCACTGAACGCAGCAAAAAAAAAAAGAATAAAGTCGTTTTTGTCACAATAACGATACCACCCTTTTAAGTGCAGTGATACGATCACTCCTTTCCTTGGGAAGACCGACTAACCCTCAAGCTGTGCTACAAACAGAGCTTTGAATACAGTCAAGATGGTTGTAAATTGGACGAGTTATTATTTTTACGTTTTAATGGACTGAGACGAAGTTGAGGTCCTTAAAAACGCAATGAAAGAACGAGGTTAACATCATGCCTTTTTTTACCGTACAAGCTTGGTCAATAAAGAATTTCGCACCAGGTTTCGCTTTTATAATAGATGTTTATCAAGAGATTATCATGTCTTTTGTTTATATAAGCCTATTTTGCTGACACAAGATGGCTATGTACGGATAAATTGTTAAATGCAAAACTGTTTCTTTCTTTCGGAAGGAAAACTCGTCAACCATAGGACAAAATTGAGGAGCGGCGCAGTACTATCATTATAACTCAGCTGAGGATCGTCGAGATCTTTGAAGCCTATTTTGATTACAGAAGCTTGAGGCCTCACTCCAGCTATTAGATAATTAAAATACTACTGAAAGACAACATGCACCTGTTCCGATACTTATATTTACATGTCATTGCATTTTCAGTTTGGAATAATTTAGCTTTCTTAATTCAGTGCCCTCGGTTCTTTCTCGGGCTGTCTACTTGATATTCTTCATAGTCATCTGTACATGTCTTTCTTGCTGGGCGACTATTCATTCAGGTACCCAAGGAATATTCTTGTGATTGAATTTACATTTTTTGGAAGCTTTTCGGTAATTTTTCTTGTTGAGGCTTCACTTTGTGAAAGCAACGAAAGGAAACATTCCTGGATATTTAGGAAATATTTACTTTCAATAAATTTCGATCATTCATTAAGATAAATATTTTTTATATATATATTTCATTTTTCATGCACAACAAACTCCAACAATTCTCTATTACTTTGAAATTGTGGTTTAGCTCGTTAGCACAACATGTGAGAAATGATGTCGACAAAGTTCATGCAAGAATATGTATACGTACTTTTCATAACTTTTTAAATCTTTTTTGAATACGTACTTTTTTCAATCCTTCTTCTTCGTAGTTGCTTAAAGACCGAAGAAAGACACCACTCTTCGAGACTGGCGGAAATAATGGGTGGAGTTCCACCCATAAAGCGCTCGGGCTACTGGGATTGATTAATCTCCTTCGCAGCTGTTGTTTGGTCTCGTCAAACAACGATTTGAGAGAGACCGCGTTACGTGATGACACCAAATAACGGTCGCAAAAGATACAGCGCTTTCTGCCGTTCTTTTATTATTCGTCTATAGTTAGCTGCATGAAAAATATAACTCTACGTAATTTTACTACGAAAAGAAAACTGGACCTCTGTTGTATCTCCAACAGACTCTATCAATGCGGTTAGAATACGGGATTAAATGCATGCAGGTTGTTTATCAGGAAATGAAACGTGGAGCAAAGTATAATTTGGCAAAATAGAATTTGATCGGTGGAATATGATTCAAGCACGTAAAAAATTTTCTAATGCTCATGTAGCACAATGATTGGGTATGTTCTGATTGGACTTTGGACGTTGTTCTCATGCTACGTGATGGAACGTAAGTTGCTTTGCGTTTAAGTTTTGAGTTAAGGAGCGGAAAAAAAATACGTAGGGAATTTAACGGATTCCATAATATAAAACAAATAAAAAAGCTTTGACTGTGCTCTATTCTGCTGTAAAGCACCTAGGAAGCGGCTAAAGCACTCAAGAAGTGGGGAGAAACGCGAGACGTAGTCGAGTGTTTCTCCTTACACTTCTTTCGTGCTCTAGCCGCTTCCTGCTTGTTTTACAACAGAGCACAGTAAAGCCTTCTCTATTTATTAGTGTAGTATTAAGTGGGCAAACTGTATTTAGTGGTCACCCTGACCCGCTATTATGGTTGTGATTTCACTAGACCACTTTTCTAGCTGAACATTCTTTCTAGATGTTTGTTTACAGACCGACATTTAGTAGTTAGACTTGACATCTATTTTCACTGTGAAATTTAACCCGAAATTTAAGCCGATTACTTAGAAGATTCAAATTACAAAAGCGCGCAACTTTGAAAAAACGGCGGGAGACGAAGGATTTTTAATGACTTCCCCTATAATGATTCTCGCCATATTTCTCCGAAGGAGACGACGTTTTTGCAAGAAAGAAAATTCAGCCTGACTAACCATACAATTCGGTGGAAAAAGTCTCATTTATCACCCCTAATCGGCGTTACCACCAGCACCTTTGTTTGGAGGCTCGTCATATTAACTCCGCACACGCTCCTTTAAATAGTGCGATGGCAGCTTACTTCCTGACTCCTATTTACACCTCGTCAGAAAAAAGGCAGCTAATTAGTGAGCGTATTAAAGGACCTCTTGTTGCAGCGTTTAGATCACCCCTGATGAAGGCACTAGACAGGAGTGTCGAAACGTTGAGTTTATGAATCGTAACTTCTCGGTTACATTCATTAATTCTTTAAACCAGAGTGACATCAAACTATGTCTCATGTGACGCGGCTTTTCTTCAAAGGATGCGACTAATGTCTCGGCAAATGGAGAGGATGCGACGGATTGTTGGAGCGGGAAAGTATTACGAGGGAATTTGTCTGCCATTTCGAAAGCACGGTTTGCAAAGTGAATCGGGAGGTGAGCGCGAGCGTCTGGAAAATATTTGCCAGTTCACGATTTGGCAGGCATTTGTCACTACGGGCAATGTGATTGGCTGCGGCATTTATCAGGACGAGTTGTACCATCACGGAGACAGTATAACTCTGCTGGAATTTCCGGTCATAAAGGCAAGATAAACCCCCGTTTTTTCTTGTGAAAACAGCTTGCATTTTTCACTCGCTAAACTAAGGACGAACTGTTTTCACTGTACTTCCAGACTTTTCCGACTTAAACTTGTCAAACTTGTGAAAACACGACCTCAACGTAGTCGACCGCTAAATACAGGTTAGAATGTATCTTTTGTGTTGCATGCTTCAGCCGTCAACAAGTGCAAAATGCTATTCACTTTTCACCAACACAAACATGAGTGCGATACAACAGGAAATCCAGCAGCGCACTTAAGCAACTGAGAGATAAAGCAGCGGCACTTTCGGGGGAAAATTCGTAAGGTAAACAGGAACTCAAAATTTCCACAAGGAGTTCATGTTCTCTAATGATTGCAAATGCCAAGTACGATACGTGTTAATGTTGCACTAATCAGTGGGTAGTAAAAGAAATATTTGCTGTTTAAATTTTGCTCACTTATCATTGCGAGACATTCTCAGAAAAACAGGAAGTTGATGATGTAATACAACGGGGACTTTCCCGAGGAAAGGAGTCGTAGCGTTGCTATTGTTCTGAGGTCATACGATAGTCGCATGATTTTTTCGACCAATCAGCAAGTGTCTGATGCATCGTACATGAGATCAGCTGTTGAGGAGGGAAAGATACCCAGATACAGTGCATATGTTTGAGCTTAATTTCTGTAAATACAGTCTAACGAACGTTCAAAACAATTGACGTCATAGCCACACCTACTGCTTTCTTTGCAAATGGTTTAAATTCGCGTGTGAGAAAAGTCAGACACACTGTTCGAGGTAAGTTGAAGGCGTTGCCAGTTCTTCTAAGTTTTTGCAGAGCGTAAAAAGCCATGAGTCGTCAATCCCAGTTGCTCTACCATCGCCTCATGCTCCCCGACTGGTTTCGAAAGAATGCAGAGTGGAACTCTCCTAAGGAAGGGAATGAGTTGAATCTTGATATTCTACCTGACTCCTCCGACTGGGAGAACATCGTGCGAGTTCCTCTCATTCCCTGCGGCGAGCTGTGTAATGAGGAGGACATCACTGTCAAGATGAAGGTGGGCGTCGTTTTGCCCGAGCCTCAGAAGCCCCGGGACCCCATCTCTTACATGATATCCGACAGGGACTTTTCTATTGGAATTCAGCTCTTGGATCCCAACCACGATTACGCCAAATATGGTCCTACCGAGCTATTGAAGGCGAGTCCGCCAAAGCCAAATTGCGAAACCCAAATGTAGAAGTTACAGCGACTGTTTCTTCCACTTCAAGAAATAACCCAGATCAGTTTGAGCTGACGTTCAAGCCCTCCGAGATGTTTGGATCTGCCTACTGCGCCATAGATGACGGCCACAAGATTGTCGCTCGGTATTCTGATACCCTGAGCCTGAGGAAGGGGCTGACCTTTGAGTTGTATCGCTTTAAAAGCACAGAAAGGTACACCATTAATTATTCATTTGTCTGCACAGAGTACCTAATGGAAGCATACACAGTATTTCCAATAGTCAAAATTCTATTTAATGTCGAAGACCTTCAAAACTATAATGCTCTAAGTAATGGTAAACAGTAGCAGTAAGCGACTTTCCTACACACAATGCGTGATATTGTTTTGATGGTGTAGTACTCTGTCTTGGTCAAGCACGCGAGTTAAAGTGTTTTAAGTAGTGTGGACCAAACATTGCTGTGTATAAGATAATTGACATGTTCAGACATAGCAATAGTCATAAACAACATCTCACTCACTCTTACGCCTGCTAATCAAAGTTTTTGCGTGAAGTAAAGCATAGTGGCGCTCCCTAAATGAGAATAAATGTTAGAGCTGAATAGGAAAATGAGCTTTCAAGGCTTTAGAGCTTTTACATACATGATTACCTTTAAAAGTTTAGTTCATATTTATGCGAATGTTTTGTTAAACCGTGGCTTGTGTCTTAAAGTGGGTGTTACCTAAACTATGGATCAGCAGACCGAGGAACCTCCGAAACCTTTGGAATCATTGGAACCATTAATTTTTGTGTAAAAAAAGTTAATAATGAAATGAATTTAAAAATTTAAAACACCTTGATACTGTTGGAGATTTCGTTTTCAGGCATAAAGAAGATAACGTTGAAAGAAAAATATGTATTTCTACCTTAACGTCCAACCTCAGGAAGCCCAAGCTCACACAGTGAGCATCTGCGCTTTCAACCTTAAAAAGTTCTAGACTATTTTTGAATAAGGACAAATTTTCCCGGTCAAGAGGTTGTTAATTTGCTTCGTGTCAATTGTTTTGGCTGATTTAAGCAAATTAGCTCGGTTTTGGTTCATCTCGCGTGCCCTGTTCATTATCCTTTTCAAGATACGTTTGAGTAACGCCAACTGAATGAATCCACTGGAAGCAAAACGCTTTAAATTCTCTCCGGACGCCCAGATCACCCCGAAATACTGCAAGCATTACTGACGTCCATGGTACTTTATGCTTGTCTTACATATTGCAAGGTCTTGTACAAGCAAGGAACTATAGCCTAAAGGTTTGCTAAGAGCCTTTCGGGATAAGGCGTTATCGGGATATCGCGGTAACCAAACCGTTGGAGTGCAAGTGATGTCGCCATAATTAAATTTGGATGTCAGGGATAATTAAAACATTTTTCTCTTTCAAAGTATTTTTCTTTGTACTCAGATACTTTTAAAGTTCTTTTAGTTTTGTTTCATCTGATTACTTTTCTTGTACAAACAAATACGGGTTCCGGAGGTTCTGCGGTCCTCTGATCCATAGTTTAGCAACACCCTCTCAAATTAAAAGTTTATTACTAACAGACCTAGATGATTTAGAAGGAGAACGATATATGAAAATCATATATGTGCACTACGGTGAAGAAATCTTCAGGAGCTCTTGAATCAACAGCTGTTTCGCGCATGACTAACAAAGAGTGATCACTGAACATGATCTTGGGAGCGCAAATTACGTGGGACCAAAAACAACTCAAAGTTAGGTCACGCTTCTCTCACTAAACTTAAATTGAAACGGAAAATGATATTGCAGTGGACTATTTAATATACACTAAGCATATTTTAGCGAAGCGATCTATATGTACAATTTCAATCACAAGATTGCGTAATTTTTGTGTGCAAGTGCTGCCGTCTTTGATGTTACATTAGGGAAGGGCTAAGGAGGGAACGAAATTTGTACTAAGGGAGGAGGAGGAGGGAGGGGGGGTGAACGACGGTCAAAAGAAAGGAAATGGGGACTAATAGGTGAGGCAATACCTCCCCTCGCCGTCCACATTAACTCTAAATCAAACATGGCCGGCCGGATAAACGGTAGCGAGCTTGTAGCGTTATGCTGTCCAAATAGGACACCTGTATCGCAGACTAACCACAGGACACTTTATATGTCTACTTATATATGTTACAGCCGAAGAGATGATCAGATAGTTAGGAAAACAACATAACATTAAGACAAGCACAAAGGATATCCCCCCCCCCCATCCTCCAACTTCCTCCTTACAGATGAAGTAGTTAGATCTATAAGTAAAAAAATTTAACATCTAAGCAAATATTTTCAAAATTTTATATAATAGCCTGCGCAGCTCCCACTAATTTGTGACGTGACTGCAAGACATAGGAATGTCTTCGAGTTATCTTCGCGGCTGATACGCTCGATCAATTTCTCCTGATATTATGGATATCGATGGCAGATGACTTTTTGTTGGCCGTTCGAGTTTGCAATGAACGTGACTACAATTCCATCAGATCAGTGATTTGCTTTCAGAACTAGAAGGAAGTCGGGCACGTCAGGGAGAGGATTTGAATCAATCAATAATATTATTTCCCTTCTGTCACAAGCGTTAGACAAAGAATAAATTCTGAGTCCCCACGAGGAATCAATGCTAAAGCAAATCTGCGAGTCAAAACAGAGTGTAAAAGAGAACAATGCCCCTGTTATGATCGGAAGCGATCAAGAATGTAGCTTTAGCTGTTCTCCTAGAGCAATATGTGCACAAAAAATCTGCCTAACCAAAACTTTGTCAGAAGTTTTCTTCTGCGTGGGTTGAATGTCTTTTTTTAGAATGTGGGTGTTGACTGTGTGTGGGAGGAGTTTTACCCTTTATTATGAATGTGTGACTCTGAATGACTTTCGCGTTACTTTGCTCTTGAAATCTCACAATCTCAGTTGATACAATCTGCATTCAAAATACGATATTTTAGAGGCTTTGGGCCAGGCTATGATCTGAAACGAATTTTTCGCCTGATGCCGTTTGTGCACGCGAAACTAGACTGAAGTGTGAGCTTCCGCAAACAGGAAACGATTAACAAAGCACTTTGTTTTCAATTACGAAATGTTAGGTCGTAGGTTACTCCCACGCCTTGGAATAGCTTAATTTGAGTGCGCAGCTGTAGGACAGCATCACATCTTCTGGCACTGTTACAGCGAAGCCGCAGATTCTCGATCCCTACGCCGTTGCCTTGTCAGACACGAAGAATATGGGCGATGTCACGCTGCTCTATCGTCGCCTCGTGCTCCTCAAAATACGATCGTTTGTTTTGTTTGTTTGTGTTTTTTTTTCTCTTTTCTCTTCATAGGTTTGTAACGTGCGAAATTACATCAGATGTATGATATGAAGACAAAGAATAGCTAGTTTTGTTCCGTACCTGCAATAACTGATGTAATCATTGAAATAAAAGGTTCCGCATTGCCAACTGACTGATCATTTCCTTTATTCTCATGTCCTTAATGTTTGATTCAGGTACGGTATCATATGGAAAAATTTCAAGCTAGTCACTCTCAGCCATCAAAGGGTTGAGAACAAAGAAGAATATCAGATGAACCTACACGCGCGTTCTTTCTGGACCCAATTCGAACCCTGTACCCTGTAACAGGGTTACAGTTAGTTAGAGAGATTTTACTTGAATTCATTCTACATTCTAGCTGTAAAAGAACGATTGAATAAAGGGGGTAGTTTCTAAAGAAACTTTGGTGCTGCATCGGTGGGAGAGTATAACAAGGTAATTTGGTATTATCAACTGAGTTGGGTGGCATAAATTTGCCACCACTTGACGTTTCTAGCGTTAGCCCTTTGTTAGAGCGATTGAAGAAGGACTACGGATGGGTGGCTAACGTCATCTTGCGCAAGAAATTGAACGCAAACAGGAAACGATTTTCAAAGCACTTTGTCATGCATTACGAAATTTTAGGTCATAGGTTACCCAAACTACTTGCAATGGCATAAATTTGGGTGCACCGCTGTAACAGAGCATCACATTTTCCAGCACTGATACAGTAAAGCCGAAGATTTTTGATACCTACACCCGTTGCCATGTCAGACACTAAGAAGACGGGCGATGTCAAGCTGCTCTATCATCGTCTCATGCTCCCCAACTGGCTGCGCAGAAACGCAGAGTGGAACTGTGGCTACGAGGGAAATGATTTGAATCTCGTCGTCCTACAAGATTCCTCCGACTGGGAGAACATATTCCGAGTTCGTCTAATTCCCGCTGGCGTGATGTGTAATGAAGAAGACATTACTGTCAAGATGAGAGTCGGTGTCGTTTTGCCCGAGCCTCAGAGGCCCCGGGACCCCATGTCCTACATGATATCCGACGGGGACTTTTCTGTGGGAATTCAGCTCTTGGATCCCAACCACGATTACGCCACACTTGGTCCTTACCGAGCTGTTGAAGGTGAGTCCGCCAGAGCCAAGCTGCGAAATCCTAATGTAGATGTCGCGGCGACTGTTAGATCCACTTCAAGGAATAACCCAGACCAGTTTGAGCTATCTTTCAAGCCCAGCGAGCTCTTTGGATCTGCGTACTGTGCCATAGATGATGGCCACAAGATTGTGGCCCAGTATTCCGATACCTTACAGTTGAGTCGGGGACTGACCTTTGAGTTGTATCGTTTTAAAAGCACTGAAAGGTATACCATCAACTACATTGAAATCACCGTGTACAAGGATTCACAGAAGATTTGAGGAGAATGCACGGGCAGCTAGAAGGAAACTTAAAGTTAGACTTGCAACACACGTTGTTGTGAACTGATAGATTATGCAACTTATAAAACTACGATCCTTTCTTTTAATTTGTTTTGTTTATTATTTTTCCTTTCTCTAAGTAAGTTTGTAGTTCCGAATTAAGCACGAGCGAAATTCAATCAGACGTATAATATGAAGACATCGAATAGCTAGTTTTGTTTTGTACCTGCAATGACTGATGTAATCATTGAAATAAAAGGTTTAGCATCCCAACTGAGTGATCACATCCTTTATTCTTATGTTCTTAATGATTGATTCAGGTACGGTATCATAAGGAAAAATTTGAAGCTAGTCAATCTCAGAGATCAAAAGATTAAGAACGAAGAAGAATATCAGATGAAGATACCTACAAGCTCTTTCTGTAACGATCGGAAACGACCGAGAATGCAGCTTTAGCTGTTCTCCTAAAGCGATGTGCGCATAAAAAAATATACCTAAATCTTTGGGTAGACATTTATTCTGCGTGGGTTGAACGCCTTTTTTTAGAAGTGTGGGCTAACCGTGAACAGGAAGAGGTCCACCCTTTATCATGAGTGTGACTCTGAACCACTTTCGCGTTACTTTGCTCTTGAAATCTCAAAATATCAGTTGATAAATCTGCATTCAAATGCAATGATCTAGAGGCTCAGGGCCAGCCAAAGATCTGAAACAAATTGTTCGCTTGATGCCGTTTGTACACGTGAAACTGGAATAATTAAATGCGAGTTTGCGGAAACAGGAGACGATTTACAATGAACTTTGTCATCCGTTACAAAACTGTAGGTCGTAGGTTACTCCCACACCTTGGAATGGCTTAATTTAAATACGAAGCTGTAGGAAAGCATTACGTCTTCCTGCACTGTTACACTGAAGCCGCAGATTTTCGATCCCTACGCCGTTGCCTTGTCAGACAATAAGAAATTGGGCGATGCCACGCTGCCCTATCCTTGCTTTATGCTCCCCAAGCTACGATTGCTTGTTTTTGTTTGGTTTTTTCCTTTCTCTCCATAAGTTTGTAACCTGGCGCTAAAATTTCCAAATAAGCACGAGCGAAAGTCAATCAGACGTGTAGTACGTTAGTTTTCTTTTGTACCTGCAATGACTGATGTAATCATTGAAATAAAAAGTTCAGCATTGCCAACCGAGTGATCATTTCCTTTTTTCTTGTGTCCTTAATGTTTGATTCAGTGGTGAAATCATAAGGAAAAATTTGAGGCTTATCATTCGTAGGGAACAGAGGGTTAAGAACAAAGAAGAGTATCGAATGAAGCAACCTACAAGCTCTTTCTGTACCCATCTCAAACCCTGTACCCTGTAACAGGGTTTCAATTAGTTCAAGAGATTTTACATTCAGGCTGTAAAAGTACGAAGAAATAAAGGGGGTACTTTCTGAAGAAACTGTGGTGCTGCGTCGGTGGTAGAGTGTAACAAGGCCGAAATTTGGTATTTTCAACTGAGTTGATGACCAGGAAATTAGCCACCTTTGAGTTTGGAAGCTGACGTTTCGAGAGTTGGCTCCTCGCCAGAGCGAATAACGAAAGGATAATGCCCGAAACGTCAGTTTTCAAACTCATAACGATGGCCAATTCACGGTATCAACTCAGTTGATAATATCAAATTATTTTGTTAAAGAGCGAACCTTAAAATTAGCTAATTGCGGGGACTCTGGCATTACGTGTATGTTGTCTTCTTCTCCTACGTTCGAACAAACTATGTGGTGGAAATGATGTGGAGTCTTTCTCAGTTAGATCTTCAGTTTGCAGGCTCCATACTACTAGCTCATCCCCCCCTCCGAGGGGAGGGTTTGAGCGGATTTGGGAGGGGTGGAGCAATGGATTTTACAATTTTCCCAATCCCCTTCCCACACCGTCCACTCCAACTCTTAATCAAACATGGCCGGCCGGATAACGAAACGGTATCGAGCTTGAAACGTAATTTTGCTCTCAAAAGACGCCTGAACTGTAAACTAACCACAGGACCCTTTCATATATATACGTTTGTACGTTACAAATAGATGATCAGATAGCTTGGAAAACAAACCCCCCCCCCTCTCGTCCCTTCAAATGAAGTCTTTTGATCTTTACCCCGACACTTACCATCAAAAATGTGGTCGCATTTTTGAAATTGTATACAGTAACGCTCATAGTTAGCTAACTTCATTTCAAAAATGCCTTTTAATTGGCTTTGCGGCTAATACACTCGATCGGGCCATGTTTCTATATTTAACAAATGGAAAAGCCTTGATTGTGCTCTGTTCTACTGTAAAGCACACAGGAAGCTGCTAGAGTTTACGCTCATCTATATTTGGAGAAAAACGATCGTGACGCTAAGATTAATGCAAGAGAAATCAAATCAAACCATTTGATCTTAAGCACTAAAATTAAGAAAAAAAATCTCATCACAAATTTAAAATTACACATAACAACCTGCACAGCTGGTGCAAGAGACTAGAAATACGAGACTAAAAAACCGTCTAACATTCTCGGGGCGGCTTTTTTCACTTGAGTCACTTTTCTTTGACGAAGAAAAATTAAATATCTAATTCATTAAAGATTAGTTTAAAATATATATATATATGTTTAGTTAGCATGTGTTGTTTTTTAAATCAGCAGTGCACGTCAAAGTGGGTACTGTTTCAGAAGATTCAACAGTTGATCAAGAAACAGTAGACTAGCAGTATTGCAGTCGAAACGCCGCGATCTACATCATTCGTGACTCTATCGTGAGACAAACGAACAAAGTTCATATCCTAACTTACACCACGATGAACGATAAGCACATATTTTTATTACAATAGAAAAATCACTCTTCAATCATTTACCCTCGGTGACCCCACAAATGGTTTAAGGTACTGGGGCCCATATTCTACATTCTTGCAGAACTTTCGATCCTTCTTTTCCCAGCAAACAACATAAATTACAGATTTGTAATCGTATTGTATATTGCAGACATGGAGCTGCAAAATTATTCAATTCACGGGAAAAAACTAAGGAATACTGCAAGCCACTCTACTAATATAAACATTGCAAAAATGGTGGGCCATCCGACCTTTTTCTCCTTTGTTTTTTTTTGCTCCTCCTGGCTGTGCCTGTCCTTGACTTTTATTCTTCGATTGCTGCCCTCAAAATCTTTTTGTTGTCCAGTTTTTATTCGTATAAATAACATGCGGTCTTCCGGTTTCTGACAGGGTCCAGAATGCACCCCCCCCCCCTTCCCCCGAAGAGACTGACGTTGTTCTTAATAAGAGACTCTTGTTGATTCCTTTCGATTTCGAGTAATGTGTGTGTTCAAAAATACTATTCGATTCGATTCGACGCCGAGTTTGACTCTGTCTTAAGGACACCATTCACGTTAAATCGTTTGGTATGCTCGTCTCTTTTTGCCGCAAAAAAACACCAAACATGCGATCAAGACCAACAAAAGGACACCTCCAACCGTTATCACAGCTATTTCCCAACTTTTAAGGCCTCCAGACTTAGACGACGAGCCTGTGATGATGGAGAAACCATAGTTAGCCATCAAACTCACCAGATCTAATCAATGATTCTCCCCTCTAACTACTTAATATTTCCTTATAAGTAAGTTAAGAGAATCTAGTCTTGCATCAGAATGAGCAGCTCCAGCTGATAAGTTTGTCTTTTCTCAACATAAGCTTGTGGGTAATGTATGCGGAAAATGTGAGATGCTATCTGTTTCAGGAGAATTAAGGTCTACAAACCACATTTATTTTTTTCATCTCTTCCAAGACAAAGTGTTCCACATTGCGTTTTGAAATTTTAGAGAGTAACCCTGAGTAACTCTTCAAAAAAATCCTGAGTAGTTATCGCAAAATAACGTGGGTCACTGAGAACACATGAGAATTCATGAGAAATTTACACCACATATTTGTCATAATATGTCACCAAACCATAGTTTTGGAACTTCGTGTTTTTCACTCTGAGAAAAAACAAACTATGAATCGCAAATTCAAATACACAGAATAAAAATGAGGATTGCATTAGACATTGGGACGCATAAACTGGTACCACTTAGGGTAAACGTGAGAAAGTTACGAATAGCTTACCTGTGGGTGTTTTTGCTGTGTAGGGGATTTCTATGGAAAAAAATGAATCATCACTATTATTCCCTGATTGACAATTAGATGTGAAATGGTGTCATTATCATCATAATTAATTATATCATTTATATATCATCTTCAAGTCAGCAGTGTATCACAGTCAAAGTGGGAACGGTTTCAGAAAATTTAGCAGTTGAGCTAGAAACAATAGAAAATCATTCTTTAATCATTTACCCTAGGGGACCCCACAAATGGTTTAAGGTACTGGGGCCCATACTCTACACTCTTGCTCAACCCTTTCTTACTCAGCAAACAACAAAAATTTCAGATTTGTAATCATATTGTATATTGCAGGCATGGAGCTGCAAAATTATTAAATTATTCATTTTTTAAATACCACTACTAATATTATCACTATCATTATGATTACAATTATGTTACTTTCATCATTATCATCATTATTATTTATATCATTTACATATCATCATTATCATTACTACTATTGTTGCTATCATTAGAACTGATAGCCTGACTCTACAATTTGAGACAAGTGATTAAATGTGTTCATTTATCAACAGTACATTAAGCCACAATAAACAACAACATTTTCTACAGTATTAGTTGAAATGATTACTGCCATCATCATCATCATTATCACTTTTTGGTACCAATAAGTAAATAGTTTGATATTAAATACTGTAGGTGATAATATTGAAGGATGAGAGGTGGGCAGACTGAGAAATTGTACTCACCTCCCTCCCCCCCTCCAAAATAACAAAAATAACAAACAAACACACAAACAACAACAACAAACAAAAAGGAATAGGAATAGGCTATTGCAATAACTCTTACCAGGAGGAATTCCACATTTTCCTTGACAACAGCAAGCACTGGTCAATGATAAATACTGTTTGAAATTATAAAGAACAGCATTTGAATATATGGTACAGATACACTGTAAATCAAAATAAATTGTTTTTTCTTGTGCATTGCTGATTTTCAGTTTTTGATTTTTTAAAGTTATTCAGTGTAGGCAAGCTCAATTTTGTCAAATGATACCCAAAATAAAATTACTATAAAACTCATTCTCAGTTCAACTCAGTCTCAATATTCACTCTTTCTTCTGAAAACATACACAAAGTCCAAATTTTATTTTCCCTTTCATTATCTAACTGTCTGCCAATCTCAGTGCATGCAAGTTTGAGTTCCTGGCCCTGCCTTTTGGTATGACACTCCAAATATCTAATACTGGTAATCAATTTTAGTGTTATAGTATTCTCGCCTGCCTGAATATTCACAATGAACACTGCAAGATGTGTAATGTATTAAAGTTAACAAATACATTACATGTTGACATGGGTTTGTTCAGTAATAGATCACAGATGATGTAAAAATGTAGTACGAACTAAAGATTGTTACATTAAGTCCAGCCTGTTGTGTCAAACATGTTGTTATGGAACAGGCAGAATGCAATATGGAACCTTTTGTTTTATGCAACAATTTAAGAAGGAAAATTGTTCTTAGTGGTGATCTTTTCATCCCCCTTATAGATCAAAAGTCAGTACTACTCAAAAGTTGTGTATAGGTCAGGGCAGGGTTTTTTAAAGCTGGGTTAAGATAATCCAAGGTTAGTGTGAAATCTGATTTCAGATCTGATAGCTTTAATGAGGCTTCATAGGGTTTTTCGGCTGCATGAGATCTAGGTATGAAAATTAAGCACAAGCTCTAAAATTGTCAGCATACAAAACAAATATGGTGGCTTGCTACAATCATTATCTGAAAAGGTGTGTTTAAGACAGTTTTTACACAATATAGTTTTTATGTAATGGAATCTAGGGTTTCCAGCAATTGCACCTGTAACATTCATAGGCCTTCTATGCCTGAAAAAGAGGCCAACCAAAAAGAAAACATAGAGGAAAAAGATTGCCAAAAGGTGACAGATTTGAAATTCTAAACATGCTCAGATACTGATCTTAACAAAGTTCTATCCCATTACATAATATTATGCAACAGAGAAAATAGGGATCTTTCAAGTAAGATTATCGCATTTCAAATTATGAAAATTTTGAGAGATATTTCACAGAAGCAAATTGAAGAAAATCTAAGGCAAAGAAAATTATTGCTGGCGAGTGCCTCCCTTCATGGAACCTTAGCTTAATAAAGAAAATTATTTTTATAATATTTACTAAATGCAAACAAAAGTCTGAACTTTGATCATTGCCTTTTTATGGCTTTTAGTGACCTTGAAATGCAAAAACATAAAAAATTTTCTAGAAAAACATTACACTGGCGTGCATACCATCATTGAGCAAAAACCCTAAGAAGTCTCCTTAAAACAAAATTCAGTCAAATTCTTTTTGTCTGGAATGAGACTATTTCATTCTCTGAAAAGAACACAGGAAATTATCCCAAAAAGGCATTTGAATAATGGAATAAAAAAACCCAGATTAAAATTTAACCTTGGGTTAGTGCTAGTCTGCCTACAAACAACTGGGTCCTGCTTGTTATGTAAAATAAGTACCACTTTAAAAAGTGGTTAGGTAAAGAAAATATCAACTCCTGAAATGTTTGACATTTTTAGCCAATGTATCCACTGATGTGTACTTACATATGTATCCACTGGAACATTTATGGTGCCAACATATTCAAAGACCACCTCATTTTGTGGTAAAGATTGATTGCAGATTAATGAAATCACAGCCCTATGTTTACTTTTGGAATTCCTGTAACACAAACAAAGAAGATAATTCAACACTTTGAGGCAAGTAGAGAAATGATTATAATGCTGATAATGATAATAATATTACTGATGGAAATAATAATATTGATGTTGCAAGCAGTAATGATGATGACAAAAATAATCATGATCATGAGAATTACAATCATTATCACAACAGTGAAAAATGACGATGACAAAGACAGCAATGTAACAATGAAATAACATTTTAGATTGAACAAAAACTAGAATTTCCATATCTATATATAAAATATCATAGATTCCAAAGATTGTTTGAAATAATTCAAGGATGATTATGGATGCTAGAAGAAAAGGCATGCATAGCAGAACAGAGCAAAAGTTAATAACAATGTTATTGAATCATATATAATAACAACAATGATGATAATATGTTTCAGTGCTGAGTTTTTTTCCAAATAGTACTATAGCATCTACATGCACTCTTTTAATGGCTAATTTTGTTTAAATTCTTGTTAATTTGATAAGTTAAAAGCACTCACTGAAATTTAAGGGTAAGATTTGATTTGATAAATTCATTGTCAACATCCATTTCAAATTTTCCACTGGCTTCATCACCCAAACTATCACACTGGTGAGCAGATAAGTTAGTCCATCTGGCAACCTAGTATACAGTTTGAGATCAATAAGTGTATGTACAAAAACAAGCATTCATAACTCTTACTAATTGAGCCCACAATGAATGGGCTATAAGTTGGAGCAGAAATAAGGAGGTTCTGTAACTTGCAGTTTGGACTAAGAAAACTGGGTTAGTAAGATATTTACAACATATTACATCTCTGAGTTCAAATGCAGGCCAAAGACTTCAATTCAAACTTTCTACTTTTTGAATTTAGCAGGTTGTGCAGTGAAACGTGGTCTGCAAAATTGACCAATCAATGGAGTACTAATGGAGATATATAATATATGTGTTTATTGCACTCTGATCCATCAAAAAACCAATTAATTTTGCACTGGTTAACCCACTCCTGCCTGGAAGCAACAGACTGCACTTACTATTGTTTATTTGCCATAAATAGCAATTCACTTTGGATTTTTGAGAGATTTATGATTACAGTAATGAAATAAGGAGGACTGATCACTCTTCCCATTTGCTTTTTATTACATGCATGACTTGTTGGGTCTTAATCCCTTGCAATCTCCAGACAAGTGAACATGCACTCTCATCTATTACAATATATGTAATCCTTAGATCTCAGAAGCCAATAGATACCCACCGAAGTCTTAGAACAAGAAGCGGTGCTGGTACTGTTTTCCCCAACAAACTCACTGAATTCAGCACATGGACTGTAAGATATGTACCAACTGTTCTCGGTCTTACTTGTAAACCTACAAAACGTATGTTACAAATTATTAACCACTGCGAATTACAATCACTTGACCTCAGGACCTTTTAATCCAATTTGCAGCATAGTAAATGATACAATACTTCCACTTTCAGTACACTACTGCTTGGTATTTCCCATTTTTAAGATCAAAGTTTCTTCTTTGAATATTTTGACGACTCAATAAACACTGTATTGACTAAGCCTATTGGTCACAGATGGCTAATTATGACTTACAAACAGTGTTTGACTTGCAAGTTAATGCAAGTCGTGAATTTGTGCAAATACTGCACTAACAATTGTACATCCTAACTAATGTAACTGTTCCAGCGACCAGATCTCACGCTTGGTCAATAACGCATGTACAACTAAAACTTAATCAAGTACCCGTAGCTGTAGAATTTAAATAATTGATTACGACTCCGTTGGTTAAGTTAACTAACACGAGCAGTAACAATTCCCTAGCAATCGACATAATTTATTTCTGTTACATCAAGCTCATTCTTCTCCGCAAAGAACGGCTGATTTTGGAGAAAAAGCTTGTACGATCTAGAAATAAGTTTATTCAATTCTATAAGATTTCAAGAGAGTCGTAATCACTCTACCGTTGTCGCTATTGTTTTCCAAGAATTGCGTGCATAATAAAATTTGGGGCTGTGCGTAAACCTTGCGTAAAGTTCGCTTGCAAAACTTTCAGTTAAGAAATGATTCTCCAGAGAGAGCTTCAATTAATGAGATTAAATCTAGAAAAGAAGCCTGCAAAAATTTTAGGCATCGACGAGAGAAATTGTGCCTCTTGACGCAACAATCTGATCTACGTTGCCACAAGTTGCGAAGTTTCTTCGAAAGTTTACGTAAACAAAGGTGTTCTGAAGTGTTTCAGTCAGGAAAAGTGAATCCCAACTTTACACAACGAGCACAAGACATACCTTGGAGAAGACGAATTTGTCTTCAATGGTAGAAGGTTGACATATTCCCTTGTGTCATTAACTTCTGGAAAATAGCACGCGCAACTCTCATATCCGTGCACAGGGATACAATCACGCGTGCGCGAAACACAGCTGATTGCCACCAGTAACATGCAAATAACTAGGACTTGATATGAATCTGCCATTCTCGATGTAAATTTTTAAATATCCGACGTTGCACACTGGAGATATTGAGACGTGGAATTGCTGATTACTTTTGTAATGGAGGTATATCTAGGGCTACGTCTCACGTGAATTAATCGCCTGACCATTACCATAAATGGCCAATCATGAGACATGTAAGATTCAACTTAGTAAAAAAACGCATGGCAGCAAAAAAAATTATGAAAAAGAAAAAAACAAAACGCACTATGTTAAAATTTGCCCCTGCCTTAAAAGCCAATTTATTTAAATAAATAAATCTAATTTATTATTTGACTGAAAATGATTAAAGCACTGATGGATTGAACTTTTCCCACGAAAGTAATCCTAAAATAAACATTTTTCCTCAGAAGACACGCTCCTATCATGTGATTGGAAATGTAAGGCAGGTTTCATTGCTCAAAATAAAACTCGTAACCAGATCCTTTCGGATCGAACGTAATGTGGTTCAGAAAGTTTGCGTACTATCGGTTTTTCGCTGTGCTTTGTAAGGGCTTAAACCAGGGGTAAATTTTGAAGCTGGAATGGAAAACAGGAAATGAGAAGTATCAAACAGAATTTGTCTCTACAGATTCGTCTTTTTAGGCGACGAAAATCGGGAGTTGTGGTCAAAATACCGCACAGTACGAAATCTGGGTATTTGCCCCCGTCAACATCACGACCGCACTGGCGTCTGCTGTGCGTGACAAAACAAACATCTGTCGTGACCCGTGCTTAATGGGTTAAAAAGTAACGAGAATTCTTATTTGCTTATTGAAGGTTGTTTTTATCATCAGGAATTACTCCCCCAGAAAAGGGTCAGTAAATGGCGTAAATTACGATATAATATCTTACGTTTTGAAACTTTCTTAAATGTATCGCTAGGCCCAACATGACGTTACATAACTTTCTTTTCTCTCGAATTTTAGGGTAGCTAAAGTCTAAGCTAATATCTTCGAGAGGAAAAAATTAAAAAAATGATAAATAATGATAATAATGATAATGACGTAGCTGTACCTTAGCTTGAGGCCAGTTTATTTAACTCACTCAATTTGACATAAATTTGTTTGCTGCCCAGTCTCCATATTTCCATTTACTTCAGCCTAAGAGCATCACTCCGAATAATTTTTTTTCTTTGAGAACTGAACAGCACAGATTGTTAAACAGATAGATTTAAAAAATAGTAATACTTACAGCATTGTTACCAATTTACATGTGAAGCAGCAATTATTCAAGCACATATTTAAATTCTTCATTATAAATTCTTCCTGAACAACTCATGGCCACAGGATTTTGGCAGAATCAAGCCCTTGACTAAATTAGAACCAATTAAATCCCCTTATAAAAAATTAGACCTCAAAGTTGATTATGAGCATCAAAATCATTCCTTAGCCACAAGCCTCAACTGAACATTAAAGGACCATCACTGCAAGCTCCTGCTACAGCACCAAGTAATTTCCTGGACATCCCTCAGGCCACCATCAGTGAGCAAGAGTCAAGGAGATTTTAAAACTCTTAATACACGATGAATTTTGACCTGTAGTTTCCTCAATTACTCTATTTCCTAACATGAGCCAAGGATTAGTTTCACAAAGCAAGTTGCAGAATGAATTGGAACTCATTCTTACAATGGTGACTGTATGGCGAATAAAGGAAGGATAATGCTCGAAACGTCAGTTTTCAAACTCATAACGATGGCCAATTCACGGTATCAACTCAGTTGATAATATCAAATCATTTTGTAAAAGAGCGAACCTTAAAATTAGCTAAATTGCGGGGGTGTATGTTGGCTTCTTTTCCTACGTTCGAACAAACTATGTGGTAGAAAGTGGAGTCTTTCTCAGTTTGGTCTTCAGTTTGCAGGCTCCATACTACTAGCTCATCCCCCCTCCGAGGGGAGGGGTTGAGCGGATTTGGGAGGGGTGGGGCAATAGATTTTACGTTTTTCCCAACCCCCTTCCCACACCGTCCACTCCAACTCTTAATCCAACATGGCCGGCCGGATAACGTAACGGTAGCGAGCTTGAAACGTAATGTTGCCCTCATAAGACGCCTGAACTGTAAACTAACCACAGGACACTTTATATATGTACGTGTGTACGTTGCAAATAGATGATCAGATAGCTTGGAAAACAAACCCCCCTCCCCTAGTCCCTTCAAGTGAAGTCGCCCTATCTTCACCCGACACTAACCATCAAAAATATGGTCGTATTTTTGAAATTGTATACAATAACGCTCAAAGTTAGCTAACTTCATTTCAAAAATGCCTTTTAATTGGCTTTTCGGCTAATACACTCGATTTGGCCATGTTTTTAAGTTTAACAAATGGAAAAGCCTTTATTGAGCTCTGTTCTGCTGTAAAGCACACAGGAAGCTGCTAGAGTTTACGCTCATCTATATTTGGAGAAAAACGATCGTGACGCTAGGATTAATGCAAGAGAAATCAAATCAAACCATTTTATCTTAAGCACTAAAATTAAGAAAAGAAATCTAATCAAAAATGTAAAGTTACACATAACAACCCGCACAGCTGGTGTAAGAGACTAGAATTACGAGACTAAAAAACCGTCTAACATTTTTGGGGCGGCTTTTTTCACTTGAGTCACTTTTCTTTAACGAAGCAAAATGAAATATCTAATTCATTAAAGATTAGTTTAAAATAAATAAATATATATATATATATATATATATATATATGTGTGTGTGTGTGTGTGTGTTTAGCTAGCATGTGTTGTTTTTTTAAATCAGCAGTGCACGTCAAAGTGGGTACTGTTTCAGAAGATTCAACAGTTGATCAAGAAACAGTAGTCTAGCAGTATTGCAGTCGAAACGCCGCGATCTACATCATTCGTGACTCTATAGTGAGGTAAACGAACAAAGTTAATATCCTAACTTACACCACGATGAACAATAAGCACATATTTTATTACAATAGAAAAATCACTCTTCAATCATTTACCCTTGGTGACCCCACAAATGGTTTAAGGTACTGGAGCCCATATTCTACATTCTTGCAGAACTATCGATCCTTCTTTTCTCAGCAAACAACATAAATTACAGATTTGTAAACGTATTGTATATTGCAGGCATGGAGCTGCAAAATGATTTAATTCATGGGAAAAAACTAAGAAATACTGCAAGCCGCTCTACTAAACATTGCAAAAATAGTGGGTTATCCGACCTTCTTCTCCTTTGTTTTTTTTTTGCTTCTCCTGGCTGTGCCTGTCCTTGACTTTTGTTCTTCGATTGCTGCCCTCAAAATCTTTTGTTGTCCAGTTTTTGTTCGTATACTAACATGCGGTCTTCCGGTTTCTGACAGGGCCCTGAATGCACCCCTCCATCCCCCCCATCAAGACCAACAAAAGGACACCTCCAATCGTTATCACAGCTATTTCCCAACTTTTAAGGCCTCCAGACTTAGACGACGAGCCTGTGATGATGGAGAAACCACAGTTAGCCATCAAACTCACCAGATCTAATCAACGATTCTCCCCTCTAACTACTTAATATTTCCTTATAAGTAAGTTAAGAGAATCTAGTCTTGCATCAGAATGAGCAGCTCCAGCTCATAAGTTTGTCTTTTCTCAACATAAGCTTGTTGGATAATGTATGCGGAAAATGTGAGATACTATCTGTTTCAGAAGAATTACGGTCTAGAAACCACATTTCTTTTTTTCATCTCTTCCGAGACAAAGTACTCCACATTGAAATTTTAGAGAGTAACCCTAACAAATCGAAATTTTCTTCAAAAAATCCTGAGTAGTTATCGCAAAATAACGTGGGTCACTCACTGAGAAAACATGAGGATTTATGAGAAATTTACACCACATATTTGTCCGAATATGCCACCAAACCATAGTTTTGGAACTTCGTGTTTTTCACACTGAGAAAAAGCAAATTATGGATCACAAATTCAAATACACAGAATAAAAATGAGGATTGCATTAGACATTGGGACGCATAAACTGGTACCACTTAGGGTAAACGTGAGAAAGTTACGAATAGCTTACCTGTGGGTGTTTTTGCTGTGTAGGGGATTTCTATGGAAAAAAATGAATCATTACTATTATTCCCTGATTGACTATTAGATGTGAGATGGAAATTAGTTAATAAAAAAACAACTTCTTATTGTTACCACTACTATAATTACCACAATCACTATTATTATAATTCTATTATTTCCTGTGAGCGTTTTTGCTGTGTAGAGGATTTCTATGGAAAAAATGAATCATAACTATTATTCCCTGATTGACTATTAGATGTGAGAAGGAAATTACTTAATTAAGCAACAACTTCTTATTGTTACCAGTACTATTATTACCACTATCACTATTATTATAATTATATTATTTCCGTCATTATCATCATAATTATTTATATCATTTACATATCATCTTCAAGTCAGCAGTGTATCATTAAAGTGGGAACTGTTTCAGAAAATTTAACAGTTGATCAAGACACAGTAGAAAATCACTCTTTCATCATTTACCTTAGGGGACCCCAAAAATGGTTTAAGGTAATGGGGCCCATATTCTACAGTCTCTCACAGAACTTTTAACCCTTCTTTACTTAGCAAACATCAAAAATTTCAGATTTGTAATCATATTGTATATTGCAGGTATGGAGCTGCAAAATTATTAAATTATTCATTTTTTAAATACCACTACTATTATTATCACTATCATTATAATTACAATTATATTACTTCCATCATTATCATCATTATTATTTATATCATTTACATATCATCATTATCATTACTATTATTATTGCTATCATTAGAACTGATAGCCTGACTCTACAATTTGAGACAAGTGATTAAATGTGTTCATGTGTTCATTTATCAACAGTACATTAAGCCACAATAAACAACAACATTTTCTACAGTATTAGTAGAAATTATTACTGCCATCATCATCATCATTATCACTCTTTGGTACCAATAAGTAAATAGCTTAATATTAATTACTGTAGGTGATAATATCAGAGGATGGGAGGTGGGTGGACTGAGAAATTGTACTCACTTCCCTACTCCCCTCCAAAAGTAAAACAACAACAACAACAACAACAACAAACAAAAAGGAATAGGAATAGGCTATTGCAATAACTCTTACCAGGAGGAATTCCACATTTTCCTTGACAACAGCAAGCACTGGTCAATGATAAATACTGTTTGAAGATATAAAGAACAGCATTTGAACATATGGTACAGATACACTGTAAATCAAAATAAATTGTTTTTTCTTGTACATTGCTTATTTTCAGTTTTGAGTTTTTAAAGTTATTCAGTGTAGGCAAGCTCAATTTTGTCAAATGATACCCAAAATAAAATTACTATAAAACTCATTCTCAGTTCACCTCAATATTAACATTCACTCTTTCTTCTGAAAACATACACAAAGTCCAAATTGTATTTTCCCTTTCGTTATCTAACTGTCTGCCAATCTCAGTGCTACAGGTTTGAGTTCCAGGCCCTGCCTTTTGGTATGACACTCCAAATATCTAATACTGGTAATCAATTTTAGTGTTATAGTATTCTCGCCTGCCTGAATATTCACGATAAACACTGCAAGATGTGTAATGTATTAAAGTTAACAAATACATTACATGTTGACATGGGTTTGTTCATTAATACATCACAGATGACATAAAAATGTAGTACGAACTAAAGATTGTTACTTTAAGTCCAGCCAGTTGTGTCAAACATGTTGTTGTAGAACAGGCAGGAAGCAACATGGAACCTATTTGTTTTATGCAACAATTTAAGAAGGAAAATTGTTCTTAGTGGTGATCTTTTCATCCTCGAAAAGTCAGTACTACTCAAAAGGAGTGTATAGCTCAGGGCAAGGTTTTTTAAAGCTGGGTTAAGATAATCCAGGGTTAGTGTGAAATCTGATTTCAGATCTGATAGCTTTAACAAGGCTCCATAAGGTTTTTTGGCCGCATGAGATCTGGGTATGAAAATTAAGCACAAGCTCTAAAATTGTTAGCAAAACAAACATGGTGGCTTGCTATGATTGCAATAGTGTTAACTGAAAAGGTGTGTTTAAGACAGTTTTACACAATATAGTTTTTATGTGATGGAATCTAGGGTTTCCAGCAATTGTACCCATAACATTCATAGGCCTTCTATGCCTGAAAAAGAGGCCAACCGAAAAGAAAACATAGAGGAAAAAGATTGCCAAAAGGCGACAGATTTAAAATTCTAAACATGCTCAGATACTGATCTTTACAAAGTTCTATCCCATTATGTAATATTATGCAACATAGAAAATAGGGATCTTTCAAGTAAGATTATCACATTTCAAATTATGAAAATTTTGAGAGATATTTCATAGAAGCAAATTGAAGAAAATCTAAGGCAAAGCAATTATCGCTGGTGAGCGCCTCCCTTCATAGAACCTTAGCTCAATAAAGCAAATTATTTTTACAGTATTTACTAAAGCAAACAAAAGTTTGAACTCTGATCATTGCCTTTTGATGGTTTTAGTGACCTTGAAATGCAAAAACATAAAAATTTTCTAGAAAAAACATACCGCAGGCGTGCACACCATCATTGAGAAAAAACCCTAAGGAGTCTCTTTAAGACAAAATTCAGTCAAATTCTTTTGTCTAGAATAAGACTATTTCATGCTCTAAAAAGAATGCAAGAAATTATCCCAAAAAGGCATTTGAATAATGGAATAAAAAAACCCAGATTCACATTTAACCTTGGGTTAGTGCTAGTCTGCCTACAAACAACTGGGTCCTGCTTGTTATGTAAAATAAGTACCACTTTCAAAAGTGGTTAGGTAAAGAAAATATCAACTCCTGAAATGTTTGACATTTTTAGCCAATGTATCCACTGATGTGTACTTACATATGTATCCACTGGAACATTTATGGTACCAACATATTCAAAGACCGCCTCATTTTGTGGTAAAGATTGATTGCAGATTAATGAAATCACAGCCCTATGTTTACTTTTGGAATTCCTGTAACACAAAAAAGGAAGATAATTTAACACTTTGAGGCAAGTAGTAACTTGGTTAAAATCCATAATAATTATAATGATGATAATGATAATAATATTACTGATGGAAATAACAATATTGATGCTGCAAGCAGTAATGATGATGACAAAAATAATCATGACCATGAGAATTACAATCATTATTACAACGGTGAAAAATGATGATGACAAAGACAGCAATGTAACAATGAAATAGACATTTTAGATTGAACAAAAACTAGAATTTCCACATCTACATATAAAATATCATAGATTCCAAAGATTGGTTTAAATAATTCATGGATGATTACAGATGCTAGAAGAAAAGGCATGCATAGCAGAACAAAGCAACAGTTAATAACAATGTTATTGGATCATGAATAATAATAACAATAATAATAATAAGTTTCAGTGCTGAGGTTTTTTTCCAAATAGCTACCTAATGTTAGCACCTACATGCACTCTTTTAGTGACTAATCTTGTTTTAATTCTTGTTAATTAGATAAGTTAAAAGCACTCACTGAAATTTAAGGGTAAGATTCGATTGGACAAATTCACTGTGAACATCCATTTCAAATTTTCCACTGGCTTCATCACCCAAACTATCACACTGGTGAGCGGATAAGTTAGTCCATCTGGCAACCTAGTATACAATTTGAGATCAATAAGTGTATGTACAAAAACAAGCATTCATAACTCTTACTAATTGAGCCCACGATGAACAGGCTATAAATTGGAGAGGAAATAAGGAGGTTCCATAACTCACAGTTGGACTGAGAAAACTGGGTTAGTAAGATATTTACAACATATTACATCCCTGAGTTCAAATGCAGGCAGAAGACTTTGATTCAAACTTTCTACTTTCTGAATTTAGCAGGTTGTGCAGTGAAATGTGGTCTGCAAAATTGATCCATCAAAAAACCAATTAATTTTGCACTGATTAACCCACTCCTGCCTGGAAGCACCAGACTGCACTTACTATAATGTTTACTTGCCAAAAATAGCAATTCACTTTGGATTTTTTGAGAGATTTATAATTACAGTAATGAAATAATAAGGATTGATCACTCTTCCCATTTGCTTTTTATTACATGCGTGACTCGTTGGGTCTTAATCCCTTGCAATCTCCAGACAAGTGAACATGCACTCTCATCTATTACAATATATGTAATCCTTAGATCTCAGAAGCCAATAGATACCCACCGAACTCTTAGAACAAGAGATGGTGCTGGTACTGTTTTCCCCAACAAACTCACTGAATTCAGCACATGGACTGTAAGATATGTACCAATTGTTCTCGGTCTTACTTGTAAACCTACAAAATGTATGTTACAAATTATCAACCACTGCGAATTACAATCACTTGACCTCAGGACCTTTTAATCAAATTTACAGCATAGTAAATGATAGGCTACTTCCACTTTCAGTACACTACTGCTTAGTATTTCCCATTTTTAAGATGAAAGTTTCTTCTTTAAATATTTTGACGACACAATAATTACTGCATTGAGTTAAGCCTGTTGGTCACAGATGGCTAATTATGACTTACAAACAGTGTTTGACTTGCAAGTACAGGCAAGTCGTGAATTTATGCAAATGCTGCTCTAACAATTGTACATCCTAACTGATGTAACCGTTCCAGCGACCAGATCTCACGCTTGGTCAATAACGCATCACCAACAAAAACTCAATTAAGTACCATAGTTGTAGAATTTAAATAATTGATTACGACTCCGTTGGTTGAGTTAATTAACACGAGCACGTGATAATTCCCTAGCAATCGGCATCATTTATTTCTATTATATCAAGCTCATTCTTCTTCGCAAAGAACGGCTGATGTTGGAGAAAAAGCTTGCACGATCTAGAAATAAGTTTATTCAATTCTATAAGATTTCAAGAGAGTCGTAATCACTCTACCGTTGTCGTTATTGTTTTCTAAGAATTGCGTGCATAATATAATTTGGGGCTGTGCGTAAACCTTGCGTTCAGTTCGCTTACAAAACTTTCAGTTAAGAAATGATTCTCCAGAGAGAGCTTCAATTAATGAGATTAAATCTAGAAAAGAAGCCTGCAAAAATTTTAGGCATCGACGAGAGAAATTGTACCTCTTGACGCAACAATCTGATCTACGTTGCCACAAGTTGCGAAGTTTCTTCGAAAGTTTACGTAAACAAAGGTGTTCTGAAGTGTTTCAGTCAGGAAAAGTGAATCTCAACTTTACACAACGAGCACAAGACATACCTTGGAGAAGACGAATTTGTCTTCAATGGTAGAAGGTTGACATATTCCCTTGTGTCATTAACTGCTGGAAAATAGCACGCGCAACTCTCATATCCGTGCACAGGGATACAATCACGCGCGCGCGAAACACAGCTGATTGCCACCAGTAACATGCAACTAGCTAGGACTTGATATGAATCTGCCATTCTCGATGTAAATTTTCAAATATCCGACCTTGCACACTGGAGGTATTGAGACGTGGAATTGCTGATTACGTTTGTAATGGAGGTATATCTAGGGCTACGTCTCACGTGAATTAACCGCCTGACTATTACCATAAATGGCCAATCATGAGACATGTAAGATTTTGAAGCTGGAATGGAAAACAGGAAATGAGAAGTTTCAAACAGAATATGTCTCTACAGATTCGTCTTTTTAAGCTGTAGTTCCTAACATGAGCCAAGGATTAATTTCATAAAGCAAGTTGCAGAATGAATTGGAACTCATTCTTACAATGGTGACTGAGTGTCACCCACACTTGTTACTTTATTCCCAGAACAAGTCTATTTCTGCCCTTTATTCCACATCACAACATGAAATTATAAGTATCTGATAATTGGTCTCTACCAAAAACCAAACAATGGTTAAAAAAAATTCATTGATGATTTCAACATGCCACAAAATGAACAACAAAGTGCTGAGCTGGTGGACTTAACCCTTTAACTCCCATGAGTGAACAAGACAGAATTTCTCCTTACAACATTAATACCATATCAAGCAGATAAGTGATGAGAATAAAGAAAAATATCAATTTGGGGATAATTAGTCGATCCAACTCTAAATTCTCTGAACTAACATTATAAGAATCGTACAGTTGACAACAAGGAGAATTACAATTTTGATCTGGGAGTTAAAGGGCTAATTAGTAACTTCACATAAGGAAAGATGCCTTTTTAGGAACACCCTCACACCAAATATAAGAAGAATGTCCATCATTTTGCAGTTGGATTAGACAGCAATTTCAACATTGGCAAAAATCAACTAGGTAAAGAACTCAAGCATGTGTAAATCAAGAATCACCATCATGGTACCAAAAGATGACATGTGCAATAACAAGGAAACTCTGTAACAAAGGTTGTCTCACAATTTTACTGAACACAATGGCGTTGTTGCACCATACATAAATGTTACAAATACCGTGAAATTGCTTTATGGCAAACAAACTCAAAAAGAAACTATTTTGATACCAAAACAAAAATTACTGCTTTATTCCTGTATCATAGATGCTATTCCATGGTTACGCAGAGTAACTTCTTTACTAGGAAAACACCAATGAGAGTCAAAATAGTGGAGCCCACAATCTAATAAAACTCCATTGTCAAAGTGTGTAATCTCACTTGGGGCCATGTGAGTAATCTTGGAAAAGCAAACCCACGAGCAGCTCCCTTGAAATCGCACTATTACGCACTTCTAGAGAAACCTTGGATTAAATCCCCAGCACTTCTTCTAAATATAAACGACTCCACAAGATCACTTTCTCCAGGCATCCAAAACATTTCCATTTGTCTAGTGTACCCTAGAAAGAGCCAAAAAATTTTCCTTTACAGCCAATAGTGACGCAAAATTCACCTTGCAACACACTTGCAACAGATCAAAGTTCCAACATCGAAAGACCCGACCCAAGAGTAACACACCTGGATGTTAACCATGAAATTGACCACAATCAAACCAGCAAAGAGAAAAAATCGGCCATCTTTCGTAGAAAAATCGTTCCTCAATAAAAAGACCTCTTAAGATTGTATATCAATCAAAGACTTTGTCACACGAGGCGAAAAAACTGCCTAAGGGCCACAAAAAATCGTCCATACTTTATTTTAATCAGACATTCCATCTAGAGATAGCACCGAGCAAACCCATTCCCGAAAAAATATAATCGGCCCACTCAACAGATCATGAATCTTGCAACACAGCTTACCGTTAAAGAACTGCTCAAATCAAAATATTTGGTGCAACCCATCAGCACCTCAAGCGATCCACCCACTCTCGTCGAGAAGGAAGAATGACCGTGATCGTGCTACAGTGCAGAAAACTCCATTTTCTCTCGAACAACTATCCACCATTTTCACAGCATGAGTAATACGTTTGCTCTAGGTAATCTGATGTTTTTCACCTATCCAGAATTATCGCCTTATTCCCAAAAAGCGCGGTAAAATGCACGTTAAAAACACAGAGAAGCCTGCATTCCTCACTCAAAATGGTGTTGGTGATCGCTCTCTCTCTCTCCGAATCGCGCGTCAACTCATTGAAATTTATTGGTGCAAGTTGTCAAAATACAACAATCTAATTGGTGCGAGATCCATACCCTAATACTGCGATCTGATTGTGTGATACCACTCTTTAGGCTGACATAGAGTTTTTTTTTGTCCCTAGTCGCAATCGTACATCTGCGTATATGTTCGTCTAAAGAAAATTTAACTTTACTGATATTGAACTTTTGAGGAGTTTGTATCGAAAAAAGGGTGATGACCCATCGCTTTAAGTGTGAAAATGGAGGGGCTTTGCAAATCAAGAAATGTGAAAGTGGTTAAAGACATGGGTGGCTTAGGGTATTCCTAGGTTTTCCTGATAAACTACCAGAAATTTTTTTTCGAGGCACCATGTTGACATACACCTGCAGTCTACTCTGCTTTGAATAATCATTAGCTAACTGAAAAAAACAAAAAAAAAACAAAACGAAACGAAAAAAACACAGGTGTTAACAGAAATTTAAGAGTATACATTGCAGGATACGTTTTAGCAAAGTTACACGTACAGAATACATAAATTGAGGCACGTGATCACAACCATGCTTACGTATTCAGGCGCCGGCTTGCTTTGAACACTCTAATTTTTTCAAAGTAAACGTCGCAGATCCCAAGCACACTCAGTTAAGAGCACACCCGGTCTCAGCGAGGATGAACAGCTCGGCCAGTAACGTACCTCGCGGCAGACCGGCCGGGCCATCCCGAAATCCAGCTATTGGAGCTGGAATTACCGCGGCGGCTGGCACCAGACTTTCCCTCCAATGGATCCTCGTTAAAGGATTTAAGTTGTACTCATTCCAATTACAAGACTTGCAAAAGCCCTGTATTGTTATTTCTTGTCACTACCTCCCTGAGTCAGGATTGGGTAATTTGGGCGCTTGCTGCCTTCCTTGGATGTGGTAGCCGTTTCTCAGGCTCCCTCTCCGGAATCGAACCCTAATTCTCCGTCACCCGTTGCAATCATGGTAAGCCACTACCTTACCATCGACAGTTGATAGGGCAGATATTTGAATGAAACATCGCCAGCGCACAGGCCGTGCGATTCGATCAGTTACTATGATTCACCACAACACCGGGCAGAACCCGCATTGGTTTTTATTCTAATAAATACATCCCTTCCGCAGATAGTCGGGACGTTTCGCATGTATTAGCTCTAGAATTACTACGGTTATCCAAGTAGTAAGGGTACAATCAAATAAACGATAACTGATTTAATGAGCCATTCGCAGTTTCACAGTACTAGTGCTTATACTTAGACAAGCATATGACTACTGGCAGGATCAACCAGGTAGCTATCCGCACGGAGACGTCCCCGACCCTAAGCCACTAAGCCAAGCCAAGGGTACGCTCCAGCCACAAGCCTCTTGCCGTAGCCGACGAGGCTGGACTTTCCAATCACCTCCGCACTTTCTGCGCTTTCTGCACTCAGCCAAAGGGCACCAACGGAGAAGGGCACAAAACCGCCTCTCCTTCCACCCTAAGCAAGCAGAACTTCTATGCCACGTCTTTCTGCCTACCCAGTGCGATTCCAAAAGCATGCTGTTCGAACGCCTACCAGTCCGCAGGATGCAGGAACGCACGTCAGCGAAGGAACGCTCGCCTTCCTTCCAACGATGCCAAGCACATATCTCACCAAAGGCCATCTCCTACAACGAGCCATCACCTTCTTCGATGTCTAAGGAAACATCGTTCTATTCGTATCAGCAATCTGGCTGCACGACCAAAAAACCTCACAAACTGCTTCAGTAGTACTCCAGGGCGCTTGCAAATGACGCTGTAACCGTATGTGTGACGAACAGGGCTTACTGACTCGCCGGTTCCCTCGCTCGCATCAACCGAGCTAACGAGCCCACCTGTCCCTATGTAGGATTTCAACGTCTTTTTGTCCGCACAGCTGAGGACACTTAGAAAAAAATTGCCAAAATTCGAAAAAAATTTTTTTTCGACCGACCCCCAAAAAGTGGTACCACCTCGAAGGGTAAGACGAGGCGAAACTGCGCATGTACGTTTCAGCTCGCTCGGGCCCAGTCTTGCGCGGCTACACTGCAAAAAGACCATTTTCTATGGGCAGGAGATCCCCTCAACGACCTTTAACAAAAAAACTATTGACGCCAGCAGCTAGATCTCATAACTTTTGATTGACATTTTACAGTTGACGCCCACTCGGCTCAATCCCCGCGCGGCCAGAGCCAAGAAACCACCCTCTCTCTCTCCAGGAGACCCCTTAGACGACATTTCAAGAAAAAAATTTTTGCCCCAAGAGTTGTATATCATAATTCTCGACTGACATTTCGGGGTCTACGCCACCCAGTTCCCGCGCGGCCAGCGCCAGAAAACCGCTTCTTCGTGTCTAAGCAGAGCCTTTTAACGACCTTTTTCGACCTTTTTAATATCGCCAGTAGGTAGCAACGGTCCATGTGAACTACGTCCCGGAATCACAATATTCTCGGCTCCATCCCCGCGCGGCCAGCGCCAAAAAACCGTTTTTCGATGGGTTAGCAGAGCCCTTTAGTGACCCTTTTCGACCTTTTTAACACCACCAGCAGGTACCACCGATCCATATCAACTTCGTCCCGGAACATCAGTATCCCGGGTCCAATCCCCGCGCGGCCAGCACCAAAAAACCGCTTTTCGATGCGTTAGCAGAGCCCTTTAGCGACCGTTTTCGATCTTTTTAACACCACCAGCAGATGGCATCGGACCATATAAACTTCGTCCCGGAACATCAGCATCTCGGCTCCAATCCCCGCGCGGCCAGCGCCAAAAAACCGCTTTTCGATAGGTGAGCAGAACCCTTTAGCGACCGTTTTCGACCTTTTTAACACTACCAGCAGGTAGCAGGGGTCCAGGTGAACTTCGTCCCGGAACATCAGCATCTCCGAACCAATCCCCGCGCGGCCAACGCCAAAAAACCGCTTTTCGATTGGTTAGCAGAGCCCTTTAGCGACCGTTTTCGACCTTTTTTTAAAACCACCAGCCAAAAGCACGTGTACATGTGAACTTCGTCCCGGAACATCAGCATCTCGGGTCCAATCCCCGCGCGGCCAGCGCAAAAAAACCGCTTTTCCATAGGTGAGCGGAGCCCTTTAGCGACCGTTTTCGACCTTTCTAACACAACCAGCAGCTAGCACGGGTCCAGGTGAACTTCGTCCCGGAATATCAGCATCTCGGGTCCAATCCCCGCGCGGCCAGCGCCAAAAAACCGCTTTTCGATCTGTGAGCGGAGCCCTTTAGCGACCGTTTTCGACCTTTTTAACACAACCAGCAGATAGCACGTGTCCAGCTGAACTTCGTCCCGGAACATCAGCATCTCGAGTCCAATCCCCGCGCGGCCAGCGCCAAAAAACCGCTTTTCGATAGGATAGCAGGGCCCTTTAGCGACCGTTTTCGACCTTTCTAACACAACCAGCAGGTAGCACGTGTCCAGGTGAACTTCGTCCCGGAACATCAGCATCTCGGGTCCAATCCCCGCGCGGCCAGCGCCAAAAAACCGCTTTTCGATGGGTGAGCAGAGCCCTTTAGCGACCGTTTTCGACCTTTTTAACACCACCAGAAGGTAGCACGTGTCCCGGTGAACTTTGTCCCGGAACATAAGCATCTCTGGTTCAATCCCCGCGCGGCCAGCACCAAAAAACCGCTTTTCGATAGGTTAGAAGAGCCCTTTAGCGACCGTTTTCGACCCTTTTAACACCACCAACGTAGCACGTGTCCAGGTAAACTTCGTCCTGGAACATCAGCATCTCGGGTTCAATCCCCGCGCGGCCAGCGCCGAAAAACCGCTTTTTGATATGTTAGAAAAGCCCTTTAGTGACCGTTTTCGACCCTTTTAACACCACCAGCAGGTAGCACCACCACGAACACATAATATGAGGGTGTAGGTGGGGTAAAAACTAGTTCACGGCCTCCCTTAGAGGAATGTAACGTGTACCTGTATGTTCATATAACACATATGCTTTCATGATGAGATATATATCTATGTCAAGACCTCACCTCCCATCCATGTGGGAGATGTTACAACACTTTACGCATGTGCAGTGTGAGATGTCTGTTAGAGACTTTACGCATGCGCAGTGTAAGATTTTGTCCTACAAAGATGGCTGTTCGGGGCCGCCTGAGGCTGCCCAAGGCTGCCCTAACCTCTAGGGGATTACATGAAGGCTGCCTGAGGCTGCCTGAGGCTGCCTGAGGCTGCCTGAGGCTGCCCAAGGCTGCCCTAACCTCGAGGGGATTACATGAAGGCTGTCCGAGGCTGCCTTAATCTCTAGAGAACTGAAAAAAAAATTTACAGGTTGTAGCCAATGAGAAGATTTTGCTAAATCATACAGGATCAAAGTTCTACAGTTTGTAACCAATGAGTAGGTAGAATTCAAAAACAAGAGATCTAAGATGTATAAAAGTGGAGCAGATTTTTAAGGAACTCACTATTCTTTCTCGTAGAGTGGTGAGCAAGCAAGCAAGCAAGGAACAAGATGTCGTCAAATACCAAGAAGAATCTTCCTTATGTCAAAAAAGAAAACAAGAAGAAAACAGAAGCCAAGAATAAGTTGAAGGGTACTATTTTCATTGATGCGCTGCCTATGTATGATCCTGATTTCCGAGGTAAAGATAACGTTCCTGATACACCGATGCATGACAATTTTGGAGGAGAACCACCCAAGTTTGATGAGAATGAGCCACGAATAGCTGTGGATTATATAAAACCAGAACACCGTATCCCTCCTAAATCACAGCCTGCCAAGTCACAGCCGCCATTGAAAGAGTTGAACAAACTGGTAGAAACTATCAAGACAGAATCGACGACAGAAAAGACCGAGGTAGAAGTGCTAGAAGAAGGCGAGATTCCACAGGATTCTGGTGCAGGTACATATCAGTATTCCTCCTTGGATGAGTTACTGGACAGTGTGGAAGTCAGTTATCCATGTCCGATCCACCAGAGCATGATGGACGTATTGAAATCTAAAAAAGAAGATTTTGACGATGTATTCCTACGTTGCTCGTCCGCTCGTTGCCCAATATTTTGTAATCTCAGTGATTACAACCGTTATTACTATGAATGTCAAAGACAGGGTCACCCCTGGTTCACCCTGGACAGAATCGACAAGATGGTGTGCGAATGTGGAATGGCTCCCACATTGTCTTTGACTCAATCAGAAACAAATTATGGCAAAATGTATTTGCGATGCAGTCGACTTAACTGTGATCTTTTTACCTGGTGGCGATTTAAACCCAACAAGAGGTCAGTGCAAATTCTTACGGATGGATGTGAATGATTCATTTCAGGACTAGATGTCAAGATGACATTTGCTGATTTATTAGAAGCCCTTTTTCCTTTACTTCAAAGAAAGTAATAAGAGTCAAATGTATTAATTTTTTAGGCATAGCGTTCATTCAAACTTTTCTTTCACCAGATGTAAAAATACACATGTTTTGTAGTTGTAATTCCAAGTTTTGTTAATTTTTTTGTAGATGGGATAAGTACAGACCATCTTGAAATCGCACGGTTGATGAGTAGAAACACAAAGCTAGATACATTGTCGATAGACGATCATGTTGAAATCGCTTGGTTGATCGGTATGCCTAAGTTTAGAAAATTAGCTAGACGCTTAGGATTGTCGGATAAAGACTTGGAATGTATTGCTTGTGATGTACAGTTTTTAGAAGATAATATGGATAAATAAATAAAAGTTGTATCACCAAAAACACTGGGTCATTTGTCTGTGTCAATCATGAGGCGTGTAAGACGGTCACTGATTAAAAGAAGAAAACGCAATCAACGTGGGGGTGCTTCTGTGAGTAGGGTTAAGAAAATTCTTCGTAGAGGTCCCTCTCTTACCGATAAATTAGCTTACGCAGCAAGTATGTTGTTATCGGGTCCTGCACCAGGTTTTGGAACACTTGGTAAACTTCTGGGAAAACAGGCTTTAAAAGGCATTATGGATAATGTCAAGCATTATAAAAAGGGTCGGCGATGAAAAAAAATCATGAGTTCATCATGCTTACCTCGTGGAGTCAGTGGCTATGCTACTTGCATTATCGAGTGGTGTCGTGGCTTTGTGATCGCATCCCACATATCGTCTACGAAGAGGATGAGCCGCATAAAATCCCTTACCAATGGGTTCCCGAAGACATGGAAGTTGTTTGAAGAGGTGTTTAAATTTGTCGTGAAACCACACCTACATCCACTACACGACCGTATCTTTCATTTGATGACGTTTATGAGATACTATGATGGGAAGTATACATATAAGACGTGGAATCAATTATATACGCAGTACCTTCATAAGTATTGGGTCACCTACCATTGTTTCAAACTTTGGTGTCATTTATCATGGTTAAGAACATTAAGAAAGATGTCAAGGACGACTTGTATGACGAACCCGGTATCGTCGGTAGTTTGGGTGGTGTGGCACCGTATGCCAAAGCTCAAAAGATCTCTATTGCTCGAGGTAAAAAAGAATTAGAGAAAAAATTGGCGTACACGCTTCACAAACCCAGACGTTGACGAGGAGAATTTTTACCTGTGGTGGTGTTCGACATTGATCAACAATGGGTAGCAGATTTAATCGAAGTACAGACCCTATCCAAACAGAACAAGGGATACCGATACGTATTGGTCGTGATCGATGCCTTTTCCAAATACGCGTGGGCCCGGCCGATTAAAAAGAAAACAGGAAAAGATGTGACGGATGCGTTTGCAAAAATACTCAAGGAAGCCAAAGGAAGGAAACCTCAGACGTTATAGACAGATGCAGGCAAAGAATTTTACAATCAGACCTTTCAATCATTGATGAAAACACAGGAGATTTATCACTTTTCTACTCATGGAGATGCCAAAGCCAGTATCGTCGAACGATTTAATAGAACCCTTAAATCGAAATTATATCGCTATTTCACGGCTGCCAACACACTCAAATATGTAGACATATTGCCCAAACTTGTCAATCAAAACAATCGCACCTATCACAGGAGTATTAAAACCACACCAGCTAAAGTCACCACAATCAATGCCAAAGAAGTGTGGAACAATTTGTATGGGAAATATCTGACTAAGAAAGAAAAAAAGCTTGCATTTAAAGTAGGCGATAAAGTCCGATTGAATAAAAAATTTAGACCGTTTAAGAAAGGGTATCTACCAGGATGGACGGAAGAAGTGTTTCAAGTTCATAAAGTTGTACCCGGAATGGTAACGAATAGTAACCTATAAAGTGCAAGAATTGGATGACACGCCCTTACAAGGCACATTTTATGTGTGGGATTTGCAAAAAGTACATGTAGATGAAGCGACTTATTTTCGAGTGGAAAAAGTATTAAAGAGACAAAAGGATAAATTGTTTGTCAAGTGGAAAGGGTACCCTAGCAAATATAACAGTTGGATTAATAAAAAAGATTTAAAGTGAATTGTGTGTTTGCGGTGATCGCATCATGAGAGGAGGAAGTTTGAGACGCTTTAAAGTGTATGTGCCAAATGAACAAGGAGGTGGTGGTCTCATGCGCTGGCAGACCCCCTCACCTTATGCCCCACCGCCTTTTATCGGATCCTGGGGTGATCCTCAAATAGGTGCCGGAGTCAAAGACATGGCTAAAGATTTTTTGAAAGGTGTAGCAGGAGGCCTTAAAAGCAGTGTCAAAAAGCGTTCGTTATCAGAAGTGCCGCGAGGTATAAAGAGAGGGGCTTCCCAAGCGCTCAAGAACGAATTGAAGAGAAAAGTTGCCAAGAGGTTGAACGATATTTTTGGAGAATAAAACATGGTCCGCATCAGCACCGTACGTCAAAGTGATCCTATCATTGGTGTAGGCACAGCTTCACCGGCAGATCCTGTGTCTTCCATCTTAAAAAGGTATAAAGGGAGAAGAAGAAAACAACAGCAACGAGGAGGATTTCTCACAAGTCGTATAAAGAAAATAGGAACACGACAACGTGTGCATAAACGCAGAAGACGTTGAAACAGACACATCACCATGTCTATCAAAGGAGCAGAGCAGAATTCAAGTCTAGATCTCTTTAGAATACCACCTACAGATCTTTGTACGGTAAAGTACCGATATGTCAAAATACCACCTCAGACATCTAGTATTACTCCTATCCAAGTGTACGTGGAACGACAATCAGATCTCATCGATCTTTCGAGAAGTTTTGTCCAACTGGATTTGGGTTTCAAAACCACAGAAAATGCCAATCTCACAGCACGCGCAAACAATGTGGGTGTGATGACTTCACCAGCCAACAATATTGCACACACCCTCTTCAAGCAAATCAATTTCAGAGCCAATGGTACCTTACTCACCGAACAAGTAGACGTGTACCATCTTAAAGCTTTCATACAGACGATCCTTAATTATGACAGGAATGATGGAGAGACGATACTCGAACCAGCTGGATGGCGGAACGAAATTGATTCTCCTGTAACCTACACCGTTGCAAATGTCAAGATGGATGATGCCGCGTATACAGCTCTTTCCATAAATCATCAAGAAAGCATCAAGAGACAGAGAGCAGATGCAACAGATTACTATGCAGGAGGAAAGAGGAGAATCTTGAGAATGAAACCGTTTATAGACGCGTTTCACCAAGGAAAATGGATCGTCCCCAAAACTCTTTTGGAATTGGAATTTTATCTGAATCCAGCAGCTTTTTTCATGAATGGAGAAGCCAATCCACCCAGTGAGGAAGTCCGAGTCAACCCAGAGGATATTAAACTTACCTTCTTTCTATGTCTGGTGTCCCTAAACCCAGCCGTCTACATGAGCATGATGAGTATGATGACCAAAACCCCAACCAAGTATCCCATGATCCGTACCGAGATGAGACAGTTTCTCTCAGACAATGGGGCCACTTCTAAAGAAATCAACAACCCATTCAATGGAAAGGTGCCCCAAAGAGACATCATTGGTATTCTGAAAACTACTGCATTCAATGGTCAATAGAACGAAGACCCCTTGGCCTTTGGAAAATTTGGGGTGGAATACATCAAACAAATTGTGAATGGAGAAGAATACCCATACGAGACTTTGGAACTCAACACGGCTAATGGTAAAAAAGACTTGATGGGTTATCACCGATTTCTGGATGCTACTGGCTGTCTGTACAGAAATGCAGGAAAAATGGTGCTATTCAAAGACTGGGGTCATGGAAAAAATTGCACGCTGTTTGCGTTTTCCAATGTGGCCAATGCAAGACACGATGACCCGGTTCTTCTACCTAAAAATGAAGGCTTCATCAACATTCACATTAAATGTGCAGGGCAAGCAAGTCAGAAAACGGTGATCGTTTATGCTGAATATGAAAGCATTATGGAAATTGATGGCATTAAAGGAGCTACCACGATTGAAGTGCATTAGTGATGGAGTTTGTGTGGCTTACTACGAATCAACTCAACGCTTTAGCGGATAGCGATCCAGAACTCCGCAAGTACTTTGTAAGTGCTTTAGCCTGTGACGAACTACCCGCCCTGCAGACCCACCCAATACCCACCCTGCAGACAAACCTGGGGAACACTGGATAGTTGTGTGGACCGAACACGATAGCTGTGAAATTTTAGATAGTTATGGTTTAGACTTAACCACCTATGAATTTCTGACACCATTCATTGTATGGTTAAACCGATGGCCTTACGTGCGTAAAAATACTCGAGCATTACAATCTGTAAAAACCGCAAGTTGTGGAAACTATGTCATCATTTATTTAATGTGTAAAACAAGACGCAAGAGTATGGATGAGTTTTTTTCCATGTTTTCTAAAAAGGATTATGTAGGCAACGATGATAAAGTAGGCGACATGTTAGAAGACATCATTCAATCGTTAATAAAATAAAAGGAATGAAATAAAATCGTGTCATTTTTGTGTAACTCGCTTTTAGCAATCATGTTCAAGTGTGTGGAACCAGGATTTTCGTTCAAATCCCCTTCCAATATTTTGATTGTGGGCCCTACAAGTTGTGGAAAAACCACCTTTCTCCATCACCTGCTTTCAGAAAATTTAGACCTCTTTGACGAAAGACCGCCCCGCGTGCATTACTGTTATGGATCCTGGCAAAATAAGTTTGACGACATGCAACGCCATGGCATAGAGTTTTTTAAAGGAGTGCCTACCCACGACGATTTAACAACATGGTTTGGAGATAAACGAGGGGGTATTCTTGTCTTGGATGATCTCATGTCGGAGGGAGGATATGACAGAGAAATACTTAATCTTTTCACACAATATTCTCACCACATGAATGTGACCGTGTGTTATCTCTGCCAAGACATGTTCCCTCAAGGAAAATATGCCAAGACCATCTCTTGGAATACGCAATACATTATTGCCTTTAAAAATCCTAGAGATAAAGTGGCGTTGCGCACCTTACTGCTACAGATATACCCGACTAAGTGGCTACCTGTTATGGATATATATAATGCATGTACGGACAGACCCTATGGTTATTTGTTATTTGACGTACACCCTGCAAGTAGAGATTCTACGAGACTTTTAAGTCACTTGTTACGACACGAAGGGTGTGTACGCTGTTACAGAGAGAAATAAATAAGAAAGATGCCTGGTTATAAGCGCAGTATGCCCACAACCCGAAGGAGAAGAAGAGTGAAAAGAAGACTAACCAAAAGAGGACAAAAAGGAGGTATCCTACCATTAGCCGCACTCATTCCAGCCCTCATTGCTGGAGGTAAAGCATTGGGTTTAAGTGCCCTTGGAGGAGCTGCATCATTTGGGGCTAAAAAAGGCCTAGAAGCTCTTACAAAGAAAAAGCGATGATTAATAGTTTCAAGAGAAATGTGGATTTTTTAAAATCTATTTTACAAGAGAAAAATAGAAAGCGTCGTATGGAAAAATTACTTCACGCTAGTAAAGATCAAATCAATGCCGTCAGTGAATTCACGTTGAACATGTTGAAGAAAAAGATACCTTTATCACCGCCCACCGTTTCCAAACTCAAGAAATATAGAGTGATGTTGAGAGAGTTGGGTAAACGGAGGAACTCTTTAAGAAAGCGGCGTCAGTTACTTGTGAATCAAACAGGCGGTAGCTTTTGGAGTGGTATGAACGACGCGTTCTGTCAGTGTTTCAAGAGGTCATGACTGTCACCGTGCAAGAGGGTATAAACGAAGTGGACACGGGTATAAAGTTTGATTTGCAATTCAACTACGACGACGACAGTGACTATAAGGATCCAACCGAGTGTAGACTCACAATAGCTCAACTGTTTCGGTGGTTGCGTATACGTGTGGTGGAACCCTTGTGGCGATTATGGAGACGTTCTTAATGGTGAAACCGGATGAGTTTCGAGTTTTGGTAGATTATTACAAGGGAAAAATTACTGAAAGTACTCTTCTGGACAAAGCCGCACGCGTGGCCGCCGAAGCAAAACTGTTATTAGAAGATACATCTACTCCTGTTGCTTTAAAAGAACCTGTGGTAAAAGAATTGTTAAAGCAAGAACGCAAGCTTACTGACAAATTGAGACAGATTCCTATCGCCGGTGGTGTAGAACCTCCACCTCGAGACGATGATGGTAATCTCATGGAGGGGTTGCAAGAGGGATTGTTAAAAGAACTCATTAAATCCATAAATATGAGGGGACAAGCCGCCGTACCTCAGATGACACTCAAGAGGGAACCTGTCACACCTGTGGGGATCAAGAACGAACCCGTCACCCCTGCGAAACCGGGAACGTCCAAGATTCCTTTTCTCACAGCTCCATCCCAAAAGATACAAAAAACGAAACGAAAACTTCCTGTTCCCACACCGCAAAAGCATCGCACGGAGTTGGAACGACTCAGAGAATTTGGTAACTGGGAACCTTGGGAAAAGAGAGGTTACGACCCGTATCAAGTGTTTGAAGATGACGAAACGCCAAAGTCGAAGAAAGGCAAAGGGAGGGGCAAGAACCGTCCAAGCTAAGGCTAAAAGGAAACGACAGAGAGGAGGAAAATTTGATATTCAGAAATGGATTTCAAAGTTAGGTGTCGAGTTTCATTGGCCCGGATACCAGTATATGGGTCCAGGTACAAAATTAGCCAAGCGATTAAAACGTGGTGATCCAGGAATTAATCGTCTTGATAGATTAGCCAAACAGCACGATATTGATTACAGTAAAGCTAAATCACTCGCTGACAAACATATTGCAGATCGTAAGATGGTAGCCGGAATCGATAAGTTTCCAGGCAAGAAGAGTTTAACCGAGCAAATTGTGAAGCGAATCATGCAAGCTAAACTTAAAACAAAATTGTAACGCCTCTACAATGATGAAATAAAACTTGTAAAAATGCAACACAGTGTGTGTCTCCGGTTCATTCGTAGTTGTGTCGTTAACGAGAGCACATCATGTCAGGTAATACTTTTTACTTGACGTTACCCAGTAACGATGGGAGTCTGAAATATTTTCCAGACAACAAAAACAATTCTTGGAAAAATCGATTGGACAAACGCATCGATTTAGAAGGAGAGTGGGAAGTGGGATTGAGTAGTATTTCCCTTCCACACGATTCTAAGGTGTCCAGTTACCTCAAAGGATTAAAAGACGATGATGTCTTACTAACCACAGGACGAATTAAAGTAGCCACTGGGGATATACAACATAAAGTGACTTACAATGTTACGTATGGAGACATCAAACAACATCGTATCGAGACAGTTCACGATTTACTCAAATCCTTGTTTGATGAAGAACGTTTAAAATGTATTATGAATATGGGCTTGGCGTTGGGGAGTCATTTTTCTTCAGGACAGCGCACAATTTGAAGTAATTGCGGACGAGGATAAAGAAACGATTACTGTGACAGCAGACAAGGTAAAATCGACTGATATAACTCATCAAGAAGTTCGTGACGGTCTCTATTTTGAGTTACCTCGAGACATGTGTGAGTTGTTTGGTTGGACGAAAAAAACAACAGTGCGTTATCGTCGTATTGTTAGTGGTCCTATTGAAGAGAGTCGTAATGTATCACGACCGGCGCATAATCTCACAGTGACCAAACGTGGTACGGTGTGGAGTTATGATAGGAGGCTTACTACATCCAGTTTGGCGTATTACAGATATGAGATCCTATGGAAAGACCGATTTGCGGAGAAATATCATAGATTTCTTCTTAGCGATCTGAACTGGACCTTTATCAATACTAAGAGAAGTACCTACTTAAATTTACCTTACCCACGAACCTTGTATATGTATTCCTCGCTATGTGCTCCATTACGCGTGGGAGATCAGACGACTGATCTTATACGTCAAATACACTACCAACCAATCTTGGAAGGAAATTATTATTACGAACCCAAGCAGATTCATTACATCAAGTTACGTAAGAATCACATCGATGTGGTGGAAACACAGATAGGTGAGTCGGAAAATAATAAATTGGCTCAGTTCTATCGTCACACTTCATTTTAGACGCGTACGTTAACGCATGGATGCCGCCACCCAGGAAAAGGACAGAGGAGGAAAATGTCCATTCCATCCACTTACTTGCAAATGTCCTTCACGTCACGAGTGGCAAGACAATATTGAAAAGGAACTACAAGAAATGATTCGCAGGGTAGATCAAAGAACAGCCTTTCTTAGAAAATGGATGGATAATATCACAGAGGGAATGAAACGCTTGTAAGGATGACAAAGACACGTGATTTAAATTGTAACAATTTACACTGTTTTATTTAAAAATGATAAAAAGGGGAAAAAACGCTAAAGTGTCTTGGCTTGAATGTCTCTCATATAAGTGTTTCAATGTTTAAAATGTCTTGTGCATCGAATCCTGTAAACTGGGCATATACGTAGGGATACGATTTAAATGTTCCTACATAAAGTACCCGCTTGTCGAATACCAAACCATATTTTTTGACTTGTGTTTCTGTCTTAATCTTCTTGGCAATTGGATCACGCTTAAAATGTCTCGGGTTCACAATGTCAGTGTCTCTTCTTTCGTCCTGCGGGTCTAAAATTTCATCCAAAATATTTTGCCTCATGACCTGATAATTAAGCTGTTTGGCACCACGCACGTTTAGGGAAAAGCCACGAACTTAACACACGATTTTCCCATGTTTCGTCGCATACCCATAGTTCTTGGCACCCCCTCACGCAAATTCCACGATGTAATCCCCTTCATCCAATTCATTGGTCATATCGCCAAGGTAATCACCTAAGGGAATTTTTGTTTGACCTGGCTTCCACGTGTAAATGACCAAGTCTGTATCATTATACAAGACTCGATCGCCCAACGCCTCCAAAGATTCATAAAGCTTAAGACGGGCCTGACAGGTGGTAAATGCTGCTATGAATATGTTGGTCTTGGACCCCTTTACTGCATCCTCTTCTATCTTCTTATACGTCAATTCAATCACATCAGCACTCAAAATGCGTACGTCTGATATTTCAATCGTTGTGTCATTTAAATGATCAATCAGCTCGTGTGGTTCTGTGATTTGCTTCGTTTTCATCTTGTTCATTTGTTCGCCAAACTTTCCCCAAAAGGAGTTCAGCATCAGTTTGGCAGTGGCCTTTCTTCCTGGATTTTTCTTGATGTGCTGGGGGTCTGAGTCTATCCCTTCTCTTGCCTTGTAATTTTTAACATAATCTTCTTTTTGCGCGTCTGTTTGTGCCCCGCTGGGGTAACCACTACTTTCTTGTTTTATCTTCAACCAGCAGTCTATGTACGGGGCAAACAGATTTGTTCGATTTGGAAGCATTGTTACAACCAGGAGCTCTCGAAGCAAGGATTGAACAGGTATGTTTAAAAGTTCTAATTTTTTCCGAAGCAGTGTTTTGGAATCGTGAAGTAAAACGAACCACTTTTTCAATTTTAGTTGTAAAGATTTTATTCACCTGCCGGATTCTGGATGCAATCCATTCGCATTTTTTTGAGTGCAGCGGTATTCAATTTCTAGTATTAGAAATTATTTCAGTTACTACAGTCGTTATTGTCATCGTGAACTATCGCATTTACTTCATTTACTATTTTCATTTTCTACAGTACGTTTTTTCGACATTCGTATTTTTTGATAATTCCATTGATTATACTCGGGCACTAAGTCGTCTTTTTTCTGTTCATCTCTAGATGCCTACTGCTTTATTTGAAGCCACCTATTTTATAATTGATAATGACTATATGAAGAGTTATTTACTACAACTTATTGGTGATATGAAAGATGTTCTCACAAGACTAGACAGTGAACACGATCTTATTCGTATTGAAATTTATAGACATCCAAGATTTAACTATTGGTTTCATCTCTATATCGATGAAGTTGTTACTGCTCCTATACGACGTTTGTTTTTAAGTCGTCACTTTCCTTTTGCTGAATTTTTAGTATCGTTTTTTCGTCCTATTCGAAGAGTACTTCATCAATTTTTTAGGATTCAAATGCGTTACCTTGTAGTTTCAACTCGTGTCATACCTCGTTACTCGCATTGTATGTTTCGTGAACGTGTTAGGTAAATTTTGGAGAAAAGTTTATTCGAAGACAACAATCTGATTTACATTGAGATTTTAGAATGTGTGCGTGTGTTTTTTTATATTTAGATTTTTTTAATTAGGGATCTTTTTTCGTGTTTCAGATCGGTTCCCATGATTACATGTCTACTTTATGTGCACTCTATGTGACAGATAGAGGTTATTTTCAAAATTTGGTCTTAAGTCTTTGTCAGGCTTTACTCATTAGAAGACGTAGAATGGAATATTATGTAATTAAAGTATCTTTTTGTAGGGAATTTCAAACGAGTTTTTTTCAAGCCCATCATCTATCTCCTCGCACTTTTTTTTATCAATTTCTTTTTGATGTTGTCTTAGAAAACACGATCATTAGACATAGATTAGGAATACATGCAGGTATCTTGGAAACAAGACACTTAGACCGAGTGTACTGTTATCGCAATTTATTCATGCAAGTTGGTTTATTTTCTGTTTTATAGCTACTACCTTCGAACTTACTTTTTTGGCCAGTTTTTCCCATACATTTATATGGTGTTTCCCTTTCTTAAATTGAACCATTAAATTAATTTTTATACAATTAATTTTTGGCCTGAATTTCCATTGAAAGACATTGTGGATTTTTTTGAAACATTGAACTCATTATTATGGTGGCATAATATCCTAGATGAAATTTGTGTCCTTTTTAATCAGTTTAGGTTTTTTATGATTGTCACCCATATTTATAATATTATACCCTTAATAAGTTTTGGTTTCGTCGAGTATGATGAAGATGTAGCGCCACCTATATTAGAGGATTATATATGGTTAACTACCAATTACCACAGAGATACTCATAATGTCGTACATTTTTTTCTTGATTGTATTCCTCAATCATCCTTTTTGTAACGCTAGATTTTTTTCAACTTTTTCAGAATGAGTATCCCTTTATGGATTACTACAACTTTTTATTTACGCTATGGACCTTTTTAGATAATCAAGATCCCGAGGATGAAATTTTGGTCCTTTTAAACCAATTTGACTTTTTTATGAATGTTAATTACGTTTATAATGTCATGAACATTATCTGTTTCAATTTTGTCCCCTTTCAAGAGGTACCACCACATCTAGAGAATTGTACATGGTTAGCTACCATTCCCAACAGAAACAGTCATAACATTTTTTCATTTTTATCGTACTCCATTTGTATAACAATAAACTTTGCATTAGATTTTACATGTGGGTTGTCTTATCTATAATCTGACTCATGAAATGTAGAAAAAAAGCCGTCTGCTATTTCTTTATCCCAGTTAGTATAGTAAATACATCGTTCATTTCCATAGGGGTGGTAAATGTATCGCAAGGCATCGTGGAATATAATGTCATGATGTCTCTCCCGTAATTTCAACTCCTGAATTTCTTTCTGATACCTTTCCACATCTTGTGCATGTTCCGATGCTTGCTGACGAATCTTGCGCTTAAAGCGACGCACTTTTAACACGCGACGGCGTCGTGTCTTCTTGCCTCTTTTAGACATGTGCATCCAACACGGTCACTCTGACACACATCACATCTTGTGAATTCTTTTTAGTTCTCTAAAGATTAAGGCAGCCTCGGACAGCCTTCATTTAATCCCCTCGAGGTTAGGGCAGCCTTGGGCAGCCTTCATGTAATCCCCTAGAGGTTAGGGCAGCCTTGGGCAGCCTCAGGCAGCCCCGAACAGCCATCTTTTTCAGACAAAATCTTACACTGCGCATGCGTAAAGTCTCTGACAGACATCTCACACTATGCATGCGTAAAGTGTTGTAACATCTCCCACATGGATGGGAAGTGAGGTCTTGACATACATATATCTCTCATCATGATTTCTTTTTTTATGTGTAACATGAACATACAGGTACACTTTACATTCCTCTAAGGGAGGCCGTGAACTAATTTTTACCCTACCTACACCCTCATATTATGAATATATTAAACCGCCATCTTGAATGATGTCATCTTCGAGGACGTCTCCGCCGCCATCTTGAATCCTCCCTAAGGGACTTAGACGCCATCTTCAATCCTCCCTATGGGACTTAGACGCCATCTTGAATCCTTTGTTATTTATGTTAATTGATGGCAGCATCCCTTTGCTCCCTATGGAGACGCCCTATACTACTTGCGTTATCATTTGACAGATGGGCCGCCCCAGCCAAACTCCCAACCTGACGGTGTCTCGGACGCGGATCGGCTCCGACGCGAGGCCGGAGCCTTAACTCCAGAAAGTGAACATTGCGGTTCGCCTCCGCTCCATCCAATAAGTAAAAAAAAGATCAGAGTAGTGGTATTTCACCGGCGCAGCGAGCTGCTCCCAGTTATTCTACACCTCTCATGTCTTTTCACAAGGTCAGACTAGAGTCAAGCTCAACAGGGTCTTCTTTCCCCGCTGATTCGGCAAAGTCCGTTCCCTTTGCTGCGGTTTCGCTAGATAGTAGATAGGGACAGTGGGAATCTCGTTCATCCATTCATGCGCGTCACTAATGAGATGACGAGGCATTTGGCTACCTTAAGAGAGTCATAGTTACTCCCGCCGTTTACCCGCGCTTGGTTGAATTTCTTCACTTTCACATTCAGAGCACTGGGCAGAAATCACATTGCGTCAACACCGTTTCCGGCCATCGCAATGCTTTGTTTTAATTAAAAAGTCGGATTCCCCAAGTCACTGCCAGTTCTAAGTTCGCCGTTCGTCACCTCCCGATCTGACTCGAGGGTCACAGCTGGGCCAATCCACGGCCGATTCCTTCCCGGTCCCACCGCGACCTCGGAGAGGGAGAGAGAACCCCCCCTCGCCTCGACCACGGCCAGTTCGGGCCGGATCCAACTGCTTCAAGTCTCAGCCCGAGAGACCCGGCGCTTAGAGCCAATCCTTTTCCCGAAGTTACGGATCCATTTTGCCGACTTCCCTTACCTACATTGTTCTATCAACCAGAGGCTGCTCACCTTGGAGACCTGCTGCGGTTATGAGTACGACCGGACGCGAAAATCATCGTCTCCCCCGGATTTTCAAGGGCCGTCGAGAGCGCGCCGGACACCACAAGAAGTATGGTGCTTTACCAGACATGGAACCCTATCTCCGGACAATCCGATTTCAAGTTCACCTGGACACGTGCTACCTGCTGGTGGTGTTAGAAAGGTCGAAAACGGTCGCTAAAGGGCTCTGCTAACCTATCGAAAAGCGGTTTTTTGGCGCTGGCCGCGCGGGGATTGGACCCGAGATGCTGATGTTCCGGGACGAAGTTCACCTGGACACGTGCTACCTGCTGGTGGTGTTAGAAAGGTCGAAAACGGTCGCTAAAGGGCTCTGCTAACCTATCGAAAAGCGGTTTTTTGGCGCTGGCCGCGCGGGGATTGGACCCGAGATGCTGATGTTCCGGGACGAAGTTCACCTGGACACGTGCTACCTGCTGGTTGTATTCAAAAGGTCGAAAACGGTCGCTAAAGGGCTCTGCTAACCCATCGAAAAGTGGTTTTTTGGCGCTGGCCGTGCGGGGATTGGACCCGAGATGCTGATGTTCCGGGACGAAGTTCACCTGGACCTGTGCTACCTGCTGGTTGTATTAAAAAGGTCGAAAACGGTCGCTAAAGGGCTCTGCTAACCTATCGAAAAGTGGTTTTTTGGCGCTGGCCGGGCGGGGATTGGACCCGAGATGCTGATGTTCCGGGACGAAGTTTATATGGTCCGATGCTACCTGCTGGTGGTGTTAAAAAGATCGAAAAGGGTCGCTAAAGGGCTCTGCTAACCTATCGAAAAGCGGTTTTTTGGCGCTGGCCGCGCGGGGATGGGGCCGAGAATATTGTGATTCCGGGAAGTAGTTCACATGGACCGGTGCTACCTACTGGCGATATTAAAAAGGTCGAAAAAGGTCGTTAAAAGGCTCTGCTTAGACTCGAAGAAGCGGTTTTCTGGCGCTGGCCGCGCGGGAACTGGGTGGAGGGGGCGTAGACCCCGAAATGTCAGTCGAGAATTATGATATACAACTGTTGGGACAAAAATTTTTTTCT